ATCACATTGACGATCCACTTTCTTCACACACACCCACACACACCCACGCGCGCGCTCAGGAAGTGTTGATCCGAAGTATCTCGGCACTCGCGCTTTTTAACAAGAGCTCTGGGTGTCCTGCGGAAGAAAGGGGACGACACCTATCAGCGCGCTCCTGCATTTTATTTAGTCAACGGTTTGGACTCCAGCTGTTACTCGCTCAAACTGTCCATTTCAACGCACCACCAGTGCGCTTCAACATCTGTGCTCTTTTAACTATGACCTACATACAAACGCAGCGCGCTTGTTGTTCTGTTCCTCGTCTGCCTTCACTTGACATATATTCGATTAATGCTCATAAAACTGTCATCGGATTTAGAGGCACCGAGTATAAAAGAAGTAAATGGGCCACTCGTTTATATCGGGCCCGAGTTTAATATGAAACCTCTCCTAAAATAACAGCCGGCTTTGGGTGTGTGCGCGCGAGTGTGTTTTTATATATATATATTTTTAAAAATGCAGATGTTTTCCAGTTGCTGCCTGGAAACTTTTTATTCCGTTTTATTTATTTTTTTTAAAAAAAAATCCACTTTTCGGGACAACAGCAAAGTCAGGAGAGGGTGGTTATGTTGGAGAAGTATAGAGCGATTACCCGTGAGCTGGTCACCCACTGCGTTCGGAGCGAGAGGGACGCAGAATTTTTTTTTTTTTTTTAAAAATTCACGGAGGTAGAGAGTAAATTATTTTTTTTTAAAAACAAACAGTTTCTACAAAAGTAGAAATGTTATTTTTTTTAACGGGATTCCTTAATAAGCAATCTGAGTCATGCAGGGCGGATTTCCTTCCAGTCACCAGTGTTGCACTAAAAAACAGATGCCGGTCTCTTCTCTCTCTCACTCTCTCCCTCCCACGCACCACCACCACCCTCTTTCTTTCTCTCTTTCTTTCTCTTTCTCTCTATCCACTTCCAGGCTCGCGCGGTTAACTGCGCATCAAATGCTCATCGAGAAATACTTCACCACATGGTGTGAAAGTGAATACGGTGATAAAACGCGGTCCATTGGATATTAATCGTCCTGGTGGGGTAAAACAAATGTAACTTAATAGTGTGATTCATCTGCACGTGGGATGGTCCTGGACTAAATTGCAAGATGTGCACCGTCTTATCTGCTGTGGTCGGAGGATGTGAGTTGAAGATCACAAAGTCCCAGCTTTATACGCTCTCCCATGTGGTGGCAACAGATTTATTCTTTCAATGCAGTAATGATTCATTTCATATCAAGCATCTGGCCAAACGTCCCCACTGATACATCCCCTCATCGGGAAATACTGTAGCTCTCTGCATGCATGTCGAGATTATTGTGTCATATCCTTTAAATTCATGCCATTTCCCTCCTTTCCCCACATTTGATTGCAGGAATAGACGGTGCAAATAGGGAACAGGAACAGTACACCCTAGTGGTTCGCAATGTACTGCGTACAGTTTAGCCCTGACCTCGAACTAACGTATATCTCCAGTGGGAAGCAAAGTCTTGCTCTATTTTGGTGTGTCCAATGTCCATCAGATATCAATAGTACTGGAGTGTCCCCCCCAAAAAAGTCAATGGCAAATAATTGCCATCTGTTTGTTGTATAAAACCAATAGACTATTAATATTGGACACAGAGGCTTTTAGCGTTTCGCCATCTTGCCTTTCTGAGACAAGTGATGTTAATATGGGCTTCGAGGTGATGTGTTTGCCGAGACGAGGCGCTGAAGCATTTTTGATAATTGACCGGCANTTTTTTCTGGCTCCGTCAATGAGACTTCGGAGGTAGATATATCCTCAATTCTACAGGCCAAAAGGCGAATAATGGATAGGGATGGTTCTGGCCGTGTAAGTATCGTAAACGACGAGTGGCCCCTCAAGAAAAAAAATAATACATTGGTCATTTCAATCCACGACTGTTTGCGGGGACGCTGCTGTGCGCGATTGGCTGCCGCGTTTTGCCCACAAATATACGGTGAATTCACTTTAGTCTATTCTGCGAAGCGCTTTGGGACGTCGAGAAGACGTGAAAAGCGCTGTATCAGGTGCAAGGATTATTATTATATAGAGCAAGGTTAAACGCAGGCAAATTTGAGCTCATCTTCAAGGTTGTAAGACGATCGGGAATGTCAGATGATGTCCTGAATCTAAAGCGCGATGAAGCCTTCTGGAAAGGCACGTTTGTCCTGCGACCTTTTGATTCCCTTCTGACCAATCCGCGCTTTGTCAGGAAAGCAATTTTGCCTTTTGGTTTAAGGAATTCTGTAAGTTGCCGGCGTCCGGAACAGATGGGAGATTCTGGTAGTGACACACGTACAGTACCCCTTTAGTATGAGTGACATAAATGTCTCACAAGTTACTGTCCTCAGCGGAGAGTCTCTGCTCGACGTGTATGGTAACCCATCCGGAATTGACATAATTTGATGAGTTATCAAGCTGAATTATTTATGTGACCTTGAAGCTAGTCATGCACGTTTCAAGCAGGAAAAAGCACTTTTTTTAAAAAAAAAATCAACGCGGCCTTTTGTAGTACAAGACCACAGGGCAGTGTCTTGTGGTTTTGATCAGATGTCAATCCAGTGTTCCCGCAGAAAATATTGTTTTCCCCGATAATGCTATTACGATTGACTCACTTCTTATCGTGTAAACTTCAGTTCATAACATCAGAACGTTCTACTCGTTTCACGAACGGAAAGGTTACTTAATGGGATTGCTCACTGCCTCGTTTATATAAAAAAATACATATTTAATTCGGTCATTGGATTGCTCCTTTAACAGAAACTGCTGGATGTGTTCTGCAATGTGCTCTGTTGCTATAATTTTGAAGAGAAATGTCTCAAATAGAAAGCTCTCCTGTTTGTTAGAACAATTTGCAAATAAATTTGATTGTGCAGCATTACTCTATCTATCATTTAGGACTATTTTTCAATTGATAACATTTAGAAGTATAAGTAGTTTAACAAAATGAAACGTATACATAAGACGTTTGTTACCTCATTGGAAGAACACTACAATGTGGTTCATTCTTAGAACGTAAGCCGTTATCATCGAAGCAGCTCAAATCCAATCCAAACCAAGTGTGACTTTCAAACTTGTTTTGCGGATATCCTTCGAGTATTTCCCTGTTTTTTTTTAAAAAAAATTGACTGCAAATTGTTTTGCAGTAAAACACAGCTGTAAATTTGTGCAAGTTACATCTGTATAGCGCCTTTCATGTTGGGAGGACGTCCCAAGGCGCTGGACAATTAGGGATCTAGACCCGAATGGGGGGGGGGAGGGGTGAGACGGAAGGCACGGTCAAGCAATTTGTTTCAGGAATGTGAAAATAACATGAGAAGCAGCGTATTTATAAAATGCAGTTGCACCTCAACATAATACAGTAAAACTCACGTGAGTTTGTATCAGTCGGGCCATTCAATGCAACCGACCGTTAAGTCTGCCCATGTCGATTCAATCAGCCGTTAAAGCGCAGGAGTAATGGACTTGGGGAGCAGCACTGCGAGTTAGGAGGTGATTAATACGATGCGCGCAAAGAAATCTAAGTGGTTTTGATAGGAAACTGAATGGGATTCGGGTGACCGTACGACTCGGGCGATTATTCGATGTATCAAGATGAGATTTATGTGATCTTTACCATATAACCGCTTCGCAGTGATAACTACTGTAATATTTTCCGAAGTTTTCACTAGAAGTTGATCGGCAGCCAAATAATGAGGTCAATCCTAATACCTCACGGCTGACTTACAACCAGATATGTTTACGGCAGGAAATATGTCCTCATTTGGCAGGAAAAGACAAAAAAGCCAGTCTCCCAGGTGGCGGGGAGAGGGTGGGGGAAAGGGGGGAATCTGTCATAGGGTAGACTTAAATGTTTGAATACTCTAAGCAAGTTTTTTTTTAAAAAAACAAACGTGAATCCAATTGATGCATTTTTTTGGGGGGTGGGGGGTGGTGACATCCATCAATGCGAGTAAAATGTTGGCAAAGTTACGGCTTGAAAAAAAAAAAAAGCACAGTAAATGTGTTTATCGAACCCAAGTTAAAGCACGAGTCAGGGTGGTCCAACCTTTTGGCTGCCGAGGGCCGGATGCACGACGTGAGTAACATCCGCTGGCTGCATAAGCAATATTTTTGTTTCCCTTCCAGAAACACAATGCAGTAACATTTACGGGTTACGGAGGGAGCGGGTGGGCCAGACCCGTTCGCTGTAACGTCCAGGTTTTAAAGGTTGGTTCACAGCGTAGCTGAAATAGAATGACTTTGTTCTGCTTTCAAATCTCACGTGGGGTTCCCTTCATACCGGGGCAAATCACGCAGAAGAGTTCGACATCCCCTTCTAAGTTTCGAAACGAAAAACCAAGATCTGAGATTGATGAATTAAATCAATTAAAAGTCTTCTTTGTGCCCGGTATTGAACAAGACGTGAAAAGCGCTCTATCAAATGCAAGGATTATTGTTATCATTATTACTCGTGTTTATTCAACAAAATATATAGTTGACATTGGAGCGTTTGTTGCCACGGAATAAAGTAGTGAACACAGTGCAGGGCTCCCTCTAGTGCCGCGTATCAAAAGAGAAACGAGTTGGATTTTGGACGATCAGAAGTAATCAGACGAAGAAAGCCATTCGATCTGACTTAATCAGAATAACCAGCCTTCTTCCGTTCCCTTGCAGCACCCAGCTGCTACCTTAAAGGCGACTTGGAGCTGAAGCTTGAGGTCCTAAAACTTCCGTCACGATGAAAAGTCTCAAAGCGCTCGACCGGGAATTGACGCCAGTGGTTCAGACAAAGTTACCTTTGTCGGCAAACATAGCACTAAAACTACAAGACACAAATGTTAACAAACGCTAAAAATTCAGAGAGGCTCCCCAACAAATGAGTTGGCAAAGACATTGTATAATGTGGAACTCAACAATACTGAGCGCAGGTTCAATCCCCGGGCTCCACTGATTTAGGATTTTAAAAAAAACATCCTATATTTATGATGTAAAAAGCAAAGACCACGAGTCATATTTCTCTCTTTCTACTGTCTAGATTTTTATTAATTAATGTTTAGTCAGTTTTACATTGATTTATGATTGCTACGATTAATTGAAACGGGTGATTAGAAGACTGATCAACGTAAAGGGTTGCATGATGAAAGCGTTCTTCTGGACGCAAATTGTAGTGTGCAAAGGTTAAAGAGGCTAAAATAATTTTCATTTTCTTCTGTCTGTCTCTCACTGATCAAATCAGAGCGAAATCTCGATTTTAAAATTAATTTCTTTACGTAATCTCAGGGAACACCCAATGCAGTGATTCTATCCGGACAGTCTCTCTCTTACGACGGAGGGGGTTGAGAGGAATTTGGCGGCTCTCCATTTTGGGTATCAGTCGCTGAAAAAAAAAAATCATCAGAAGTAATAACTTGGGACTGAAGTGCGTGATAACATTACAAAGTGTGCTGTACGCAGAGCTCCTAACAGCTCACGGTTCTTTACTAAAACATTCCCCTTTCCCGTGTAGAGACACCGTTCCGGCGCGAAGGGCGCAATATAAATGTAAGTTGTTGTTGTTGTGTACAACCAAAAACTGCCTCCTGGTAATCTCTCAGTTCCTGCTGTCTGTTCGCCGGTTTCACCGTTACGCACTTTTAAGAGATTGCGGTGGTACGTGGAGCCCTGTAGCGTAGTGATAGTGGGACGTCTTCCTGACCTGGAAGGCGCTTTGCAAATGTAATTTTGATTTGTACTGCCGTGGCCAGCGGCGCTTGCGAAAGTTGCAAATACTTTAGTAACTGCTTTAATAATTAGCTAAATGGGAAAAGAGAACCTACCAGCCCGCTCAGGACAGATGCAGCCAGCTGTGGACGGACGAGGACAATCTACATTCCCATTTTGAGGGCAGAATACCTTCACAGGACCTCGTCCTTAAACAGCCAACGGAATTAGTCGTTAATTTATTATGACAGAATAATTGCATTGAATGCACGCGGAATTACAAAGGCCTGCAGTTTGCAAGATTTCATAGGACATCAGCTGTGAGCAAAAAATCCAAGCAATTTTACACATTTAATACATATTATTACATATAATAATGGGCTAAAGGTTGTAAAGCTACCTTACGATAGTATTCTAACCTTTAGCTCATTATTAATATTATTCCTGGATTTATTGTGAACTTGTGCAATACGTTTGCCTGCACCGCCCCAATACGTATAAAGAAAAGCTTACTTTAGGCGCATCAGTTTTCTAAGGTATTTATTGAGCGATATATGTCCACAAATAGCCATGGTAAGTAATGCTATAACTGAAAGATTGCAAACAAACAAACCTGGCAGAAATGTATCAAAAAAATGAACAGTGTAAATTATAGAAAGAATCCCTGGGTGCACTCTTATTACCAGTGAGAGACTTTGCTAATAAATGCTGCCTCACAAATGGGAGTTCCCGTTCCGCATTAAGGAACACGTCACTATTAAACATTGTTTTTTTTAAAATAAAAGGTTGTAAACACTCATTTGTGTATTAAATTCACATGATGATAATAATCTTTGTTTCAATCTCCTGTGCCTTACTGTTTGGAGAAAGGCATTTGACTGTTAAAACAATTTAATTTAAATTAACTACAGAATTTATGACACCATTATCTTTTACTGTTTAAGATTCTGATAGGATTTGATAAGGTAGACTTTAATGGGCCATTTTTACTTGTAGGCAAGTCCAAAATGAGGGGCCATAAATATAAGGTAGATAGTAGCAGATCCAAAAGGGAGTGTGGAGGAAATTCTTTATGCAGAGGATGAGAATTAATGAATGTGGAATTCACTGGGGTTGAAGCAATATCTATTGAAGAGAAAAGTTGACGTAACTATGAGGAGAAGGTAATAGAACGGTTTTGTGGCTAATATAACCATACATTTGCACCTGTTACTGAAACTGAACAGCATGTTGCTAATATTATTCTGGGAACAAAATAGAACTGGAAAGGTCACTGTTCACTTCATTTCCCAGTGTGGAAATCTGGTGAAATAATATTCTCCCGTCTACTATTCACATCTCGGTAACTGTTTGTTTAAAATAGGACATTTCTTGGTAAGTAAACTAGGAGGTACCTGCACATCGCTCTTGTGTTGCCCTGTCCGAGGCTGTAAAATATCAACCAAAATACAATCATGTTAAAAAAGATGAAGTTTACACGAGAGGTCTAGACAAACGACATGGGATGCACGTAGACTGCAATCTCTTTACCATACCATTCGCATGTTTTTCAGTACATACTGTATATTGACCTAAAAGTAGTCCATAGAAATGTTACAGGAGCAGTGACCACAAGAAGGGAGGGACAGTGTAGAACTAGCAATGTGACGGGGGGAGAGAGAGGGCTGGCACGAGGGAAAGAGATGGCAGCCAGAAGAAGAGGCGTAGAGGGGAGGAGCTGATACCAGGTGGAGGATACTGTGGCGGGAGAGAAAGGACAGACCCGGACGTTATAGCTCCTGGTGCAGGAAGTTGTCTTGATAATTCGTCCAATATAAAAGTAAATTCCAAGTGCCAGAGAATTATTAAATAAAAACCCCTTGCACAACTGTTCACATTAAAGTTCTGATCGTGTTTTGTATATCCTTTATACAAAGCGAGAAAAGATACGAGTTTCTTATTACCTGCAGGATCCTGTCCTGAAGTCCCATTAAGTGGTGCAGGGGATGCCGTAACTCCTGACAAACATCAATCGAAATAATAAAGCATTTCAAAGGATTTACCATCACAAAAAGTTCCATATCCACAATGGGCCCAATATATATACACATTTCAGACAGTTCTATTCCTTTTACATCGGATCTTTAAATAGTGAGCACAAGACTTTCATTTCATCAGGCTGAACGAGCCCCAGTGTTAAAGTAGGGTAGTTGACAGCATCAAGCAATCCTCTACAAATGAGGGTTGCTTTACACATCTACAGCTCTTTGAGACGTCTCAACGACGTCATAAGGCGCTATATCAAACGTTATTATTATTATTATTAATACCAACAGAATTTAAAACAGCACCTGGGCATCGACAAACACTTGAAGCTTCTGGTGCCCCGAGTGTAGCACATACATCACGAGGTGCAGCTGGAGTTGCTGAAAAATCACGAGATCCGGTACCTGGAAAAATATAAACCCCAAATCGCCAGAATTAGGAAATCTCCTAGGTAACGTTTCGGCTCGGATTACAAGCACTGCATAACCTGCTTGCCATTATGTTCTGTGTAAAATGTGTAGGCGGTTGAGAATCAAGGACTAAGTGAAATGATTTTTTTTTTAAATTGATGCGAAAATGGGATTCAGTGAAAACTGAAAATCAGACGAGTTTTCCTTTCTTTCAATGAATTTGGAACTGTGTCCACGATGCCATGATGTTTGACCCGATATCAGCTTAAATAGAAGTCACTCCGGTAAATTTTCTCTTCGCCCTTGCAAAACTAACAAACGTGCCGGGCGGACTGACTCTCAATAGATGTGTGGAGGATGCAAAATGGTCTAATTGGACTACACAAATGATTGTGATAGTAAGGTTCAAACTCAAGATATCATCAACCGCTGATGTCCTCTCGAACTAGCCAAAGGCACCACCTGGTCCTCTGGAGTGATCGGGGCACAAACACTCGATTTAAAAAGAAAAACTAAGCACCTGAACATCGACACATCCCAATGTCTTGCTTCTGGGTTGAATTACACAATTCACCAGTACGAGGCGAACTCGCTGGAAAGACAGCAAACAAAATTAAGTTCTAGGAACCATACATATTGCGACTAACGTGTCCCGAACATTAATCTGGAGAGCTACAGAAACAGATTTGTTTTTGATCGTGTATCAAGAGTAATGGAAGGTAGTCTAATTTTAACTAGCATTTGGCCCCCGTTTCTATATATACGTTTCCTCCCATTTATCCCACCTCTACAAAAAGGAATCATTCTCGACTCTATATATTAACAGTGCGTCTGACAACAGACAGTTACCCAGAAAAGTAATAAAGTCTGGCTAGCTAAGGAGCGCACATACCCATGAGAAAAAAAAACTATTACAATTCAATCGGATAAACTGATAAACAAACAAATTGACTTGAAATGTGAAATGGATACGTAAGAAATGATTTTGTATGATAATAACCAGTAATGCCATCTGCGTTCGGTTCCATAATGGTGTGATATGGAGGCTCCAAGATAACAGCCAAAAAAAAAAGGAAGATTTTAAAAAGTGAGCTATTTTAAGAAATCATAAACTTCCAAACTTACAAGTCTGATGGCAGTAAATACATCTTGGAGTCATAGAAGTGGGAGGACCATTTTCAGGTTGCGAACTTGGCACATTTGTTCCACTTGCTTTTTTCTCCACTAGTAAATAGGATAGGCCGATTAATGAGGAACTGAACACATGTAACTTAAAAATCAGACTGATAAGATTTTCTTGCAACAACAACAACTTGGATTTATATAGCGCCCTCCACGCCGGAGGGCGTCTCAGAGCGCTTTACAATAACGGATCCCGGGACCGAGCCGGGAGGGGGCGGGGAGGTGGGGGGAAGGTGACCAAAGGTGCGGTCGAAAAGAAGTGGAGGGTGGAGCGGAGGACTCGGGGGACTCGGAGGGGCCAGAACCGGAGGAACGAAGGCAATGGGTACTGTTTTGAGGAGCGAGGAGGTCAGAGAGGTAGGGAGGTATGCAGACATGTGTACATGACACCCATAATAGATAGACCTTCATAATTATTGGTTCAGAAGGTCAGTGAAAGTACTGTGACAAAATCATGGGAATTATATAAAGATCTGAATCTAGATTCCGAGAAGCTGCTATTGATATTGTGTACAGAATCCACACAAAACCTAGACTGGCTCTACAAACAGTTTAAGGCTGAATGTTGTAAAATTTGATGGTTTCTAGTAACATTACCACATAAAATGCTGTGTACACCAAAAGGAAATAGGAAATACTGCAATGCATTTGAAATGTAAACAAAGAGGCGGCCAGTGGAAAGGTCCAATTTTATAACACAGCAATACGATTTCTCTGTGGAAGTTCTTACTTCAGTGTCTAAAATCTTTTGTGTTCACATTGGAACTCTCCGGCTAACAACTGCAGTTAGACAAAAATGAACCAAAAAGAATGGAACATTACCGTCTTACTTAAACTCTCTGGGACGCAGACCTGCGCGAGCAGCGTTATGTAAAAGGAAGTTGCTGTAGCTGTTGATTTAAGGAATATTGCAAAGTGTTTGATACCTGCAGGTGCCTCGGTTTCTTGAGATTGATACATCATTGGAAGCTTGGGATCAAGCCTTCCTTTGTACATGATGCCATCAATCCCCTGAATCTCAACCTCTTCCTGAAAATACAACATTCGGGTAAATGGAACTCCATATCAAAATACAATACAGTAGTTTTTAAAAAACAAATTACCTCCAATAAAACGATACATCGACTTTAACTAAATCTGGGAAGCGTGCATTTACCGACACTGAGAAAAACTCACAAAAGCTCAATACTAATGAGCGTGAAATATAATAAAGAATTGATAACGTTCGCCGTGACTTGCCTCTATATTTGCTGGATGAGCAGGCTAAGCCAGTTAAATCAGCTAAACAATTTTGAGCAATTTTAAAAACAAACTACCTTCTAAACATTTTTTTTTAAAAAAAGCAACTTGTACAAATAACTAATTGCACTTAATTTGTTGTTCACGATCATTAAAGGCACTTACCCTCCTGAATCCTCCACTGGGATCTCCGTACTGATACACTGTTTGAAGATTCAGATTCCTGTTGTTGCGTCTGCTAATGGGACCCGTGACAGTATGACTGCCACCACAGGGGCGAGAGGAATTCCTGGTCAGGTGGTCATAGTATTCACCGTACATACTGTGGACAGTAAAATTACATTGCTAAAGTAAAGATTGCAGTGAATCACTAAACATGTCAATTTGATATTGTACATTTAAGACAGCAATACTCAACAAAGACAATGGTGACCTACTTCTAAAGTGCAGTACTTCAGTCAACATGAAAAAGGAAATTGCTTAAATCCAGATAAAGTGCTAATCATTCTCTAGACATATCCTTCACTCGCCATAGGTACCAAACGCAAGTGAGTTAGGTCATTTCTGAATCGATGCCTGTCCTTTCAATAAAATTTACTTTGCACCTTTGAGATCTCCGTCTCGAGACGGACCTCTTTTAGTCATCACACCCCAGTCATCCCTTTGGCTTCCACCCACTGCTTGAGTACATTAAGCATTTTGACACATACTCCTGAGGTGAAAGGTGCCAGACAAACAATTTGAATACATTGCAGCCGTCCAGCCATTCACACATCTTTTTCCAAAAGCATCAGGACTTTCCCTTAATGGAAAGTCCCATCTGAGAGATAAAACATAATGTTAAGACTTTATGAATCGTCATTGTGTCTGTATGAGTTAAATTTAAACCCTGGTCCCTAAGATGACGATAACCAAAATCCCTTCGTACACATTATTTAATCTTTATCATACCCTCTTTGTCCTTTCACAGAGTCTAATTCAGGTGCAGTTGTGGGTCGAACTCTGGGATGCAAAGCTGAGGCAGCAACGGTAATGAGATGCCTGAAAGAAAGAATCATTTGCAATATTTTACTTTAGGTCTTTGTAAATCCAACACATTGTTATTCAAAGCTAGAGTTAAACAAAATTAGCAGCCAGATTAATAGATATTTCTTGCTCTACATATGCAGCAATCTAACCGATCTGACACCTATCATAGAGGTTATTCATGAAAATGGGAGAAAAAGCATGTTTTGCAACAACTTTAGGGAAACACTAATACACTTGTGTGTGTTTGTGGGGAGGAGGGGTATTCCTAAATAATAATCCTTGCCTTTGATAACAATAATAATCCTTGCATTTCATAATAATAATAATCCTTGCTTTATCACGCTTTTGAGATGTCTCAAAGCACTTTACAGTATATAATAATAATAATAATAATAATTCTTGCATTTGATATAGCGCTTTTCACGTCAGGAGGACGTCCCAAAGCGCTTCACAGAACACACTGTAAAGTGAATTGACTGTATATTTGTGGGCGAACGCAGCGGCCAATTGCGCACAGCAATGTCCCACAAAGTGTCGTAGATTGAAAATGAGCAATTTATTATTGTTTTTGGTTTTGGAGACATTATTATTAGGCTCTGTGTGGAGTAAGGAAACTTGCCCAAGGTTTCGCCCTCTGCCTGGAATTGAACTCAGGTCTCTCACTTGCAAAGCGAGTGCTCTAACCAGAGCTACAGGACTCCACAATATATACTGTAAAGTGAATTGGCTGTGCACTTTGTGGGCACACAAATAAATAAATGGCAAATATGAAAACATTACCTTTGTTAGCACTAATGAAACGTAACAATACACCCACAACAATGATAATGTCACATTCCTAAAACAGCTGAAACGACACAGGGCGTCTCAGACACGATAAGAGCACAATGAAGCATGCGTGTAAAGATTTTTTTTTAAAATCACACCAACAGCCTATCTGCGTGGTCCTCCTGTACTTCCTTTTCCTGTTTGCGCCGATCACTTTTATACTGCACTCGGTCCCTCGCATAGAACCTACCACTCACCTCCCAGTTAACCAGAGATGGCCAGCCCATTCCCAGGTAATACTTTTTTTTTTGTGAGATCCCTCTGCATTGCAGCAGAGGAAGAGGAGTCCCTTTAAGTCTTTTGATCCCATAATTCACTAAGGGTCTCTTCACGTCAGCAGCTCCCTGTTGAACTCCTTGCCAGCACTAGTTTTCCCTGTGGTAGTGATACGCTTTCTTCCTTGGATTCGGACAAACGTGTGCAGCTGCGATGCTCACCTGGGTTTCCAATTGGGTCTATGGCACAGGCCTGATCTCCAACCCATTATGCAGCTAACAAAGCAGTTAGAACATTGAAAAGGTCTAAGACGATGGTTATGCATTGTTTGGGTCAAAATAGCATCCAAATCCATATCAAATGTGAAGGAGGAGGATTGGGAGAGTTTTGTGATAATTCTAATAATCCTTGGATTTGCTATTACTCCTTGTCATGTCTTCGAGACATCTCAAAGCACTTCACAGAATGTACTGTAAAGTGAATTGACCGTATATTTTGGGGGAAACTGTGGCATGTTACAGTAGATTGAATAATGCAAGTATGGGGATAGAGTGTTTGGAAGTTCTACAATAACTTTTGCCTGGACCAGGGTGTGTTTTTGTAGTTATTTCCTTCAAGAAATTTCATGGGTGAAGTGAAGTTCAAGATGGAATGTATACTTAGTATTCTGTGGAAGAAACAGAATTGATGGGACAAGACCTTTTCTAGTTCCAAACTTTCTAGGTTCTTATCCAGCAAAAACAAAAGGTCTTTATTAAAAACATATGCTTACGGTCCAGGCAGCATCCTTGTAGATTTGGCACAAGAAATGCACTTAAATCGCTCAAGCAACTGTCTGGAAAGGTATAAGATAACATTGAAACAAGATACCACCGAAAATTACAATAAATCATGAAAATAGTAGACAAAGAAATGTTCCTCCTCCAAATGTTACAAGTGCTTTGGCCGAAAGCTAATTTCACAGAAGCACTTGCTTAAAGCCTGATTGATAACATGCAACAGACAGCAAAAAAAAAGGTTGGTCAATTTAATTTTGCAGAAGCACAATATTACATTGATTGTAATTTCCCCCGTTACATTACACGAATTTTGGAATAATCTTTAATCATTTTATCTATTGATACACTTTATCTACTGTTCTTAAAATAACATTTCAGTTCACTTTGAATGTTTAAGAGGAGAGGGCAACATGAGGTTTGTACAAATTTTGTCACAGCATTTTGAAGCTTTATGAGGTGCAATAACATTCCATAATCTTGCATGTTTTTTTAAAAATAAATATTTAAGTATACATTATTCACAAGTTAAAGTTCTTCATGACTCGAGTTGTTTCAGTACGCTTTAACAGGAGGTTAATTTTCCGTTCTCTTATGTATTACAACAAAAATATGGTCCAACGGCTCTTATTGTGGTCCCTTCAGTAAAAATTTTGGCATGGTCAGCGTCAAAGAAACATGCTGAGAGCAAAGGTTGGCCACCATATGGAGCTGAAATGGCATAAAATATTGCACTAAATAATGTATTATTGGTAAAAGGGAAGACATAACAGCAGTTAAGAATGTGGGTATAAAGCAGGAGAGTTGGCTGATGTAAACATCAACTGAATCTTAATCGACTATTGATATGTACCCACAGCATAACCTGAACTGATAGGTGGAAGAAAAATAGGCTACGTGGAATTGTAATATGGTAATTGTGGAAGGGAATTGAATTTTCCACGTCAGACCAGGAAAAAACAGAAAGGAGAGGTCAATATACAAGAAACTTCAGAGAAGTATTTTTTTCTTAGTTTGTGAAGCAGAATATTTGAGAAGGTATTATTTGATTTGAATACTCAAGAGCAGAGCTGACCAATGACTTGGAAGTGGTGAAGCTTTGTGCTCCAGTATATCATAGAATCTTACAGCACAGAAGGGAGGCCATTCGGTCCATTGTGCCTGTTCCGGCAGTTTGAAAGAGCGACCCAATTAGTCCCACTCCCCCACTCTTTCCCCATAGCCCTGCATTTTTTTTCCCCTTTTGAAGTATACGTCCAATTCCCTTTTGAAAGTTATTATTGAATCTGTTTCCACCACCCTTCAAACAGTGCATTCCAGATGGTAACAACTTGCTACCTTAAAAAATAATTCTCCTCATCTCTCCCCTTTGATTCTTTTGCCAATTATCTTAAATCTGCGACCTCTGGTTACTAATCCACACACCAGTGGAAACAGTTTCTCCTTATTTACTCTATCAAAAAACCCTCATAATTCTGAACACCTAATTAGACTTGATACTCTGTTCAAACAAAAATAATAGTTGCATTACTTTAGAACACGAAAACAAATCGTAAAGGGAGAAATAAATAGCGACCCAAACTACCAATGAAATAGGAACAACTAAATCCTTTGAGCATCTAAGAGCAAGGTGGGAAAGAAAGTACATTACAATGAAGCAAGAGAAACATGGCAAGCCTGAGAACAAAATATCTGAATTAGGAAGAAGGATGATTTATTTTACATCACTGAATCATTTATCTGTGTTATTATAAACTGTATTCACTTACTTCCTAAATCCAGCTGCTGAATCTGCCTCAAAACCTGGCCCACTCTTCAGCTGCTTTTTGAGCTGTCTCCATCTCTCTTCCAACTGTTTCTTTAGTGGATCCAGCTCCATTCGATCCAACTGTCGGAAAATAAATCAAGATTTTAGACAACTGAAAGCTAATTGTATTCATAAAAGCCATAGCTTCATGGAGGTTTCATTTTATGATCAACCAATTGAAGTGGATTATTAATCAAACTTCTAGCTTTCCCAATTCACTATAAACACATCCGTTATATAGATGTATACAACTGTTGTTATTCACTGTGTCAATGCACTCGATCAACAAAAGCCAAAGTGGATCAAAATTCCAGCAGCTGAGCTTGGCGAGTGTACGGATCATCATATTTTATTTGTGCTCAGCCATATTTCATGACCAACATAGTTTACTGGACTCAAAGTGTGCAAAAAGTTAGCGGCCACAGAGCTAATTATGAGGTGAGAATGAAGGGCATGAAAGGCATAGGATTGGGCAAAGCAATAAACCAGTTAGTCATAGTTACAGGCACAAGTGGGGATTTATTACACTATGAGAAACAAACAAAGCAGACCAGAATTAATTATTTTGCACTATTATATATTCAGAGACTAGATTTTTGAAAGACAATTTAACAAGTGTCTTAGGAAGAATTTTGGAAATAAATAAAATACAGAATCTCATTACCTTGCAGTCCATATCACAAAGCAGTTTCTCTAAGACCTTCTGCCAGTCTTTCTCTTGGGCACACACTTTATTCAACAGCTCCTGCATCATTGCATTTAATTGCTGTGCTGTTGCATCGAGTAGTGCCCTACTGACTTTGGCTTCCAAGGCTTTCTTGTCCGCTTTCTGTCGTAAACATAAGGAAGAAATATTATTTAAAGCATTGTTTCCTGGGTACGATACTAAAAATATTAAAATGAAATAAACGCAGTGACTATGCATTTGTAAACAAAACGTTGATTGTGAACGCGCACAACTTGAACAACTAATGGAATTTCACCCCTAATTACCCCACTCTCTCCAAATTAGATGCAGGATAATTTCTACCAAAGCATAACAGGTGCTCTTCCTCCAGTTCACATGCGGCAACTCGTAATCTATGTGACTGCAGGGAAATTGCAGCTGAGCCTAACCCTGTTCTCAAATCTCCATAGTTATGCATTTTCAACAGAGATTTCTAGATAGCAATCAGAACCGCAAAACTTGGCTACGTTTTTCATCTCACCGAAATTGCGGTGCAATTCTACAGCCAAATAGTGCTACTTTGGTTAAGGTTAGCAGATTCCGTAACTGTATTTGAGAACCTTCTAATCTGTAAAGCTTTGCAAGTTATTGGTTAGATAAATTCAATACATCTTTCAATTCATGATTAATTGGTGAATAAAAAGCATTTCAACTGAAAATACTTTTTATTTATTTATTGAAACTAAAAGCCTTCTGCTTTGAGGAAATTGTACCACCAATGAAAGGACTGATTTTCTCAGTGCTCCAAGATAATGTTTTTGCCACTGATGAGGCTATGAAACCTTAAGCACGGTATCTTATAGTGCATGTGTATATATAGTATATAATATAGTACATAATATATAAAAAAAATCTCTTACTACATTGATCTCCATTTCAAGCGCTTCTTTGTCAGCTTTCTTTTCCTCAAGAATCTCAATCTTCTCTTGAACGTCCTATTACAAAAAAAATTGGAAAAAGTGATATACGTAGGAATAAATTAGTTTTTGTATTTGAACAAAACCAATGTGAATGTTTTCCTTCAAAACTTATATATAGGGATTGCATATAAGAACACTTAAAAAGTGATGCTTAAGGCAGTCTTGGATTCTTTTCAAAGTTTAAATATATGACCTGGAGTTCATCATGATCACTTTGGATTGACGAAAGTCTGTTGTCTAAATCTTCTTGTATTTCTTCTAGATTTTTCTTGACGCTTGTCAACAATTCTTTGTCCTTAAACAAAGATATACAAAAAAAATGTAAAATATCATGATGCTAACTGAGCTTTTTAAATTTTAAGTCAAGAATAATTCACATTTTTGAAAAATTATAGGTAGACTATGTGAACGTATTTAAGTTCTATCTAAAAGATGTATAAGCATAGAAGTAACAGAACATCTTGTCATCTGGACTAGAAAACAACAGATGTGAGTCATTAATAAAAAAAAGATGTAAAAACAAAAACAAATTACTTAAGAATTCCCCATAAATTGTATAAAGAATCTGAACATATGAAATTTCTTTAACGACCTTATTGACTTCATTGTGCAATTGTTGTAATCCACTTTCTAATAAATTCAGTCGCTCCAACAAATCATCAGGAATTCCTTTTTTATCTAAAAGAGAACACATAACTTTATCAACATCCGGACCAAATATTCATCCATCCTTTTTACAGCTTTTGCTCAACAAAGGATTAAGAAAGAAGTTGCATTGTAGACCGCCTTGTTAATGAAAAAAAGCGCTTTATACAATTACTGTCGAATGTCGTGTTAAGTGTGGCAGAGGGCAGCAAGGTCCCAGAAATGGCTTTGAGTTACTAGTCCATCAAGGAGAAACTACTGTACATTCTCTTTTGAAATCTTTATCATCCACCTGAAAATAGGCAGATAAGATCTCAGTTTCGATCCTCACCCCAAACGTGGCATGCTTCTTCCTTTAATCCCAAAATTAAAGGACCACAGGACTAAAGTTGAAGCTCTCACTGAGTTACCATCGAGTTACTCAATATGCTGGAGTGTCAATTGACACCTAGCTCAGATTCGAATTGGGCCTTAAACCCCATCCCCCCAACGAAGAGTCTGTTTTGATTCACAAAAAAAATGTTTCCTCAAGCTTGTGAATATGACCTAAATGATTTGCCTCAGATAAAACAATGAGGAGATTGTGGAGCAGTCCTTTTTTTTTTATTCTTCTTGCTTATCTGCCGTAACTGACCTAGTACTGCCAATCGTTCACGGAGTTCTTTTTCCAGATCCACTACTTTGTCTTTTAGAGTGTAATGACCAGAAGCTGCCTTCACCAGGTCATGCAGACTAGATGCGACACCAAGTTGGGCCCCATAATCTTCCACTTGAAACTTAAATAAAGGAAAAGTGAATTACTTCTTGTGAGTTTCTTATCAATTGCAATCAGTTATTCTTTCTGTTGAACATTTGTTTTCACTCAGCATTTTTATTTCTACTTCAAATTATAAATCTGAATATTCAGGTTAGTTTTACTATCCAACTGCTGACTTTAAATTTTCCAAAAACATTTTACTCATTACAATCACTTTAGTGACAACGATCTTGTACTCCATATATGTACTGGATTTCAAATATAATTTGCGATCAGCCTTGCCATCAGCAACTTTTTCCAAGCATAAGGAAAATATCAAACACCAAAAATATTAGAAATGTTAAACAATAATTCACATGTTTAATATGTACCGCTTCCTTATACGTCATATATAGTCATATGTATTTGAAACCTTCTACAAATCCTTTTCAAACATCATGTAAGAAAAACAACTTCTTGCATATTACAGAAAAGCAACAACTCAAGAGGAGGCGATATACTTTAAAAATAAGAATGATATTACTTTACTCACTTGTTGGTCACCAAGTTCCATTCCAGTATGCTCAAATGTCACTCCTGTTGGAAGTTCAAGTAATCTAATTTTCTCTTCAAGCTCCAACTAAAAGACAAAAGAAACTATTAAGCTTATCTTTGATAGATGTACAACAGAATTATCAATCAACTGTATAAACTGTCACGTTGAGAACTGAAGATCAGTGTAGCAATAAGAAATTAATTCCACAGGTCAGTGATGCTTGTTCCACTCACATCTTTCAGAGCTGTCAATCAGCAGTTTTTCAGCGCATTAATGTGGACTAGATTCAGTCGGGTGCCAGAGGTAAAACTGGGACAAGTGTAAACATTTATAGGCAATCATAATCCAAATGATTCAAAAAAAAAAGTACTGTACTCGCCTCTTTATCCAAAAGTTTCTGTAAATCGCCCCATAAGACTAGATCCTTTGGCTCCGGAAAAGCATTTAGTCTATCTTCAATGGAATGCTGATCAAAGAAAAACAATTTATTTTACTTCAAAGGTAGAAAAATTTAGCAAATGTAAAGTTTCCACAGAAATCATATGTAAAAGAAAACAAGCAATTGTTTCAATGAGGTGCTTTTGGATTAGATGTGTTAAGTCCCATCTGCCTGCTTTCCCGGAGGAATTTAAAGAACTGTAGCTGAGAACAGCTACCTCAGAAATGACACAAACTAGGTCTTCTCGGTAAGCATTACGCAATTTGAATACAGTAATTGTGTAATTTTATGACCTCACTATAAAGAATGTTTCTTGATTTTGAGATATTTGTACTTGTTAAAGATATAGGGATTATTTCAACCTGATCAGTTTAACATGGCATTAAAAAGAAAGTGAACTTTCCGAACTGATAAAAACGGAAGTGCGGGCTTATTATTATTGCCTTAAATCTATGAATACTTGAAAGGTGTAACAATGATCACTGTTGGGAAGATTTTAGTGATATGGCTTTCGACCAAAAGATTAGAGTAAATGATTAGTGGCAATTGGCAGCAACTTCAATAAAAAGTAAAGGTTGACGAGCTTAAATAAATGTTCAGATTTGTTGAGCATATATAAGGGTATGCTTCTGAGAACTGTTCATTGCAGGCGACTGATACTGAAAATCTTCAAAAATGTAACAGGCTTACAAATTATTTGTACCCACATGAACAAGTGGGTATTACATAGCAATTCAGCTCTAACATCAATACCTTGTTTACAACTCACCGTCGCTTTAAGCTGCTCTTCCAGGTTTTGTAGTTTACTTGAGTTGAACTGTTGACACAAAATAATTTCTGCTGAAATTAAATGGTGCAGTGACCGCAGTAATAAACAATCCTGTGATTAGCGCATAAAGTAGAGACTGGAAATGTTGGAATCAAGTTTAGGCGTTAATTTGAGGCACTTTTATATGGTAAAAATATGATCTGTATAATGGCATTTGAATACTAAAACTGTACAGCTTAAATTAGATAATGTCTAAAGTTAAGTTATTTAACTCTACTTTGTCTAATCATAAAACATGGAGCTACAAAATAATTAATGTTTTATTGGGAAAGGTTATTAAGATTCAAGCTAATACTTAAACGGAAGAAAATCAAATATTTTCTATGCAAACAAATTTACCACTAAGCTCTGAAATGTTCTGATGTAAATTCTCCCCAGCAAAGGTTGGAAATGCATCAATAGCTGAAGAATAACTCCTTAGCTTCTTTCATTTTCTCCCATCTACAAGTTCCAGAATGTAAAGCTTTGGGGTACACTTTTTTTGCTCTATATTATTACCTATAATGCCAATAATGTTCGATATTATAGCATCTGGTAAAGTGGTTTCCTACACCTTACGATCACTAAAGTTTTTCTCCAGTTAGAACATTTTCCACATTTTTTGTTGCAGTTACTATTTTTTTCTATGCATCTGTTTTTTACTCAGTCGGTTCTGGCAAGTCCCATTGATAGCACTGTGTTAACCACTTACTGTTGCCCGATGCTTGGAATTGTGAAGTTATTCAGGGTCATCTGGGATCCATTAGGGCAATCTTTTTCTGTATCTCAGAATAATTTGGTCTATCAAAAAAAAACCTGTGAAATCTGTATGTGATTGCTCTCTGGCAAAGATGTGAATCATGTATCATGAGTTGACATAAGTTGACTTAGTTACTGTGCTGTGCTCAAACTCACGTTTGCCGAAATTGCTGATAAGCTTCAGGTTTCCACCACTTTTGCTGAATTACAGGACAAATCCATGTTCAAATCAGCAGTTTATTGTATTCTGTCCATTAGAACCCCTTCACCAGTTTTGAGTTCACACCTTTATTTCCTGTGTGTATCACCTTTATGAATTCAGTGCAAAGCATGGTATTTATCAAATTGTGAAATATGCACATAATATTAGGTTTGGTGCTTGGCCTCTTGAATTCTTGGGATGAATGTGGTAAAGATGATGTCCTTAGTATTTCTAATAATTCAACCTGATCTGCCGATAAACTTCCCTGAGAACATGACTTGGGGACATATCTGTACAAGTTTCTATTATTTCACATTTCTGGCAGTAAAGTTGATTAACGTTCAGTGTTCAAAATTAAAATTGTAAATGCCTTGTGTTGATTTGACACACTGTGTTGGAGGACGGTGCTATTCCATAAGCTGTAGTATTAAATCATAGACTTACCAGATTCTGTGGTCCTTCCACCAATAATGTCATAAGATTCCAAATTACTGCAAGCCCTCGATGCCAAAAAAAAGTCTAAATGCTAGTTCCTCTCAGTTTCAATTTGGATGGTTGGGCTGGAATGCTTGTCTGATTGTGACAGAAGATCATATTTTTCTCAGCTTTTGTAGATCATTAAAATGTTACAACTACTGTGGTTTAACAAGTGCTGTGCAGTTAGGGAATTGGTACTTGTTGCAGATTTGGCTGACGTCCCTTTGAGCACTTTATCCAAAATAATCTCCAAATCTCATTCCGTAAAACAAGACTTCCTTCACCATCAGCTGTTGACCATTCACTTTCTTGAGATGTAGTATTACAGAGGTCGAGAACTTCACTTCCAGTTTGAAAAGTTTTTTTGGTTACTTATCATGGTTATAAATAACCATACCATGTATAACTGCAGACAATATTGTTAGTGCACAGCAGTAAACATATGAAAACTTCAAATGCATCTCAACTCGATCTTTCAAGATAATTACCCAAGCAATATTTAAACATAGTTATCAGTACTTAGAAATGTAAATGGAATTCATAGTTTGAGTTCAAGAGGAAACCATTGCACTGGACCTAATAGTCTAATTTCCATAATTCAGCAGTCACCCTTTTGGAAGATTGAACACATCCAACAAGTTACTTAGTGATAGTGTTGATGGTTTTGAGCTACAAGAGCAAACTTCAGGGTATATTTTCTGCTCGGGTCTGAAAATGTCACAGTAGCTGGCAGCCAAGGACTTGGTGCTGGCAGCATAATGAATGGTATCGTCAAGTTAGCAACACTGTGCAGGATTTTTAAAGGTGTTTTTTTTCTGCTTCTGATCACCACTAACTAAATAATGGTTCCGAAACCAGGAAAAAAGGCAGGAACAAAGTCGCCTGATATCCGGGCACATTGGCCAACCGTGTTTCGGTGTTCGTTATTCGGAAAAAACCTTCCTCCGACACTGTAATATAAAAGCAGCATAAGGGGGTTATTCTCCATTAAACATATGGATAAAGCACACTTAATCATGATTATGATTCAGAACAATGATGAGCGATCACGCTGCAAAAGTATCTGAACAAGACAACAAACCCCGGTAACCCTAATGAACCCCTCCAGTGATATTAAAGTGGTGCAGATTTGGGATTAAACGGAAGTGCAAACCGATTTCCCAGAAGGAAACTCACTATAATCGGCAATCACTCTCCCACGAATTGCTGCTTTTCACTAAATTTGAAAATCACGTAACAAGGATAACTTCACAGTGTGCTGTTTGCTAAAGTGACCGTCCTGAGCGAAAATCCACGAGTTACTTACTTTGTCAACCTCTTTCCTCAGCCTTTCGTTCGTGGCGTTCATGGAGTTCATTTCATTCATCAATTCTTGCAATGTTGCCATCACCTGAAATAAGCGAAATAGGTCCTTGTAAACACGAGTTTGATGGGAAGTACCGCAACAACAACAACAACAACAACAACAACAACTCGGGTCTGTGCAGCGCCCCTCCACGCCGGGCGGCGTCTCGGAGCGCTTCGGCAAGTGTAGTGACTGTGTGGCTGGTGCACCCGCCACTCGTGGTCCCTCGTACTCGCACGCCAACCTCTCTACACACTCCGAAAGCACTGTCGGAGAGGAGGGTCTCGAGATGAGTCTCGAAGGAGGCGAGTGGGGGGGTGCGGGGTGGGGGGGGGGAGCGAGGAGGGACTGCGGTGGGGGGTGGGGGGCGTTCCAGAGGGCGGGCGCAGAGCAGTGGAAGCGCTTTCCCCCCTCCTCCTCCCAGGGGGCAATATACGGTCAAGTGTAGTGACTGTGCGGCCGGTGCGCACCCGCCGCGGCTCCTCGCCTTATTGATCCCGTCCTCGTTGGCCTCCGTTTTCTTCCGGAGCTGCATGAGCTGCCACATGTCCTTCACCGCCCCGCTGCTGCCGGAGGCCTGGACGGCCGGGGGGGCCTGCGAGGCCGGGCCAGACTTGCTCAGCAGGTCGGCGGCGGTGGGCAGCTGGTTCAGGGCCTCGAAGGCCGCTTGCAGCCTCGACACCTTCTCTTCCAGCTGATGGAACAGCGACTTCCCGACCACCGGCTTGGGGGCCTTGGCCTTGGTCTTGGCCTTGGCCTTCCCCCCCGCCGCCGCCTGCTCCTCCTCCTCCTCCTCGTCGTCCCCCTCGGTCGGGAGCGGGCCCGAGGGCTTGATGAACTCCTTCTCCTCCTGGTCCACCATCTTGGTGACGTGCCCGATCTCCAGCTGCTCCAGGATGCCGTGCAGCAGGGCGTGCATGGCGTTGAAGTTGCACACGCCCACCTCGGGGGTGCCGATGGCCAGGTTGGCCAGCTCGGCCAGGGTGAAGGCGTGCGCCATCTCGCTCTCTCGCTCTCTCTCTCTCTGTCGTGTGGAGTTAATGCTCCGCCACCGGCGCCTCTCTGTCTCTCTCTCTCTCACTCGCGCCCTCTCGCTCTCTCTGTCTCGCGCGCGCGTGTGCGTGTGTGAGGCGATGAGGGAAAGCTTTCCCTCCCGCCCCCCTCCTCGGCTCCGCCCCCGTCGCGTGCCGCCTCGAGGCCGCAAGTACCGCCCCCTCCCACCCCCCCCCCGCTTCCGGCGCCGCCGCCAATCAGCGCTTCGGTCACGCCCACTCACACACACACACACACGCCCCGCCCTCCTGACGTCGCGTCGCCTCGCCCCGCCCCCACCTCTCTCTCTCTCTCTCTCCTCCCGTTGCCCGGATACCGCCGGCGACGCCCTGAAACGCCCTTTATTAGGGCCGGCCCCGCGTCACCGCGCGTGCGCGTGCGCGGCCCCGCCCCCCCCCCTCACCAAGCCCAGCCCCCAAGCTCAGCCTCACTTCACTTGGTTGTGTGTGTTGTGTGTGTGTGTGTGTGTGTGGAGGGGGGTGTGTGCAGTTAGTTATCTGTCCTGTTTATTATTGTTGTTGTTATTAATGAATAATAATAATAATAATAATATTATTGCGGCAGCAGCAGCGACAACAAGATTGCATTCACAGAGCACAGGGACGTCCCGAGGCGCCGGACGTGGACAGTTGGGTCGGGACCCGAGCATTGGGGGGGGGGGGGGGAGGAAATGGTCTGGGTGTAGGGGAGCGAGGAGTGGGGGGGTGGGGGGGTAGAGAGTCCAGGGGGGGTTGCGTTCGATTACGGCGCCCTGTCCCGTCTTCCGAGGCGTCTGAAAAGCGCTCGGCGGGATGCAAAAGCATAGTTGACCGCGTGTTGTTGTTGTTATTACCATTTTTTTTTCGTCGTTGGGCGAAACCCGTTGAAAGGCGTCGAACAGCTGGCTTGCTGCTCGCTGCGCGTCGTGCTCGGGGGTTTACCGGCACACCTCGGCATTTGTTTGGGATCCCGGCGTCCTCTCATGTTGCTTGGGGGAAGAAAGACGCAGGAATTGAGCAAGCATTTCGGGTGCGTCGCCCACCCACCGAAAGCACCTGCAAGTGCCCTTGTTGATAACGTTACTCTAATAATATGTATAATGTTTCAGGGATGGTACGCTATGCTCCCAATCGATTAAAGAGGGAAAAAATAGAAGAGGGAAGAAAAAGCAGAGCGTAGGGAAGAATAGCGCTAGAATTATGAAAACTGAGAAACATTAGTCCCTTCTTTAAAATTTCAGTCGCAGCGTGGGCTTGGCATCTTAGCATTTTTCTTACTGTTTCTTGGCCCTTCATTTCCATCTTGTTTAGTCTTCTACCAGTGTCATTCTTGCAATTTATCCCCTGGTCCATCCTTTTCGAACAAGATATTACCCCATCTTTTGGCTTTCCTCACCCTCTCTCAGCTCTTAATCTACTTTTCTTCTCTCAGCCGCAGTCGGCTGTTCCTGGGCCTTCCCTGCTCTCAGCTGACAGCACCGTACAGTTGACTAACCTTATTAAAATAACCATAATCTTCTAAAAAAATTCTTGTCCACAAACGAGAACACGATGGGGGCTTGGTTTAATAACAATGGCAGGGCACATTTTACAGGTCTTTTCATTTATTTTATGAAAGCTGCTTCTCGTTGCACTCTGTTGCAAAGCCATTGTGATACATGTATTCTGTATATGTATATATGATAAAATCTTCGGAGTCTTTATACAACAAACTGCCTTTCTATGCTGATTAAGGAAATCTGAGGGGGCTTTACTTTATTTTTTTAGCTCGGTATTAATTTTTAGCTCAATATAAATTTTATATGCGCTAAGACAGAAGAAGCAATCGTTAGGTCCACGTGTACACATACTGTACTTGGAAAGAGGGTCGGGGGGTGGGGAAGAAGTGTGGAAAGAAAAAAAAATTGCAGATCACTATCGGGTGATAGTTGAAAGCTGACTTGCTTTCACGGGACGTACGGTCAATCCGGGGCAGCGATGATCAGCGAAGACAACAGCAAAAAATAGCATCCTGCGTTGCTCAGTTTACGTGGAGTCCTATAGCTCAGTGGTTAGAGCACTCGCTTTGCAAGTGAGAGACCTGAGTTCAATTCCCGGCAGAGGGCGAAACCTTGGGCAAGTTTCCTTACTCCACACAGAGCCTAATAATAATCCCTCCAAAACCAAAACAATAATAAATTGGTCATTTTCAATCTACGACTGTTTGTGGGACATTGCTGTGCGCAATTGGCTGCCGCGTTCGCCCACAAATATACAGTCAATTCACTTTACAGTGTGTTCTGTGAAGCGCTTTGGGACGTCCTCCCGACGTGAAAAGCGCTATATCAAATGCCAGGATTATTATTATTATTATTATTACGTGGCAAGCAACCAATCCCATGCTGGGGGCGGGGGGGGGGGGGCGCGGGGGGGTAGGAAGAGTGAATCTCTTGCATGGGAGTCTCGGTTTGGTTTGAAGACTCTTAAACATGGCGATGGGCGTTCGGCGTTGGTTGGTTGACGAAAGTCACCCAACTCCACTGGGCGGAGAGAGAGATATAGCTGGGGGGGGGGGGGGCGGCGTGGGGGGGGTAAGTGACAGGTGTTTGACCGAGATAAATCAGGCATCTGAAAAGAAGAAGCAAAGAGAGACGCGCACAACCCCCCCCACCCCACACACACAGATACACACACAAATCCTCCCCCCCCCCACCACACACACACACACACACAACCAACCGCCATTGGGAAGGAGTTGGGGGGGGGAGGGGGGAGTCTCGAACGTGTGGCCTGGAGGGCTTTACGCTTGCGCGAACGCGCGCCCCGCGCCGCGCAGGGTGAGCTGGGAGTTGGAGTTCCCTCCCCCCCCCAGGACGTACGTGTGTGTGTGTGTGTGGGAGAGGGGAAGTGGTGAACTACAACTCCCAGCCACCCCCTTCGCGCTTCCCCTTCCTCTACGGACCTTTCCTCCCCTCCCCCCCCACCCATCCCCATCCCACCCTCGCTCTCTCTCTCGCGCGGCGCCCGTTTTTTTGCGCGCGTGCGCAGTACGGTCCGCCCGCCTCCCTCCCTCCCTCCCTCCCGCCCTCTCCCTCCTCCCCACCCCCACTGCCCCCTTTCCCACCCCTCCCCCCCCCACCTCCACTCCACCCACCCGCCCCATCACCACGAACCGCCGAAGAGGCCCTGGTCATGTGAAGGGGATAAAATACCCCCCCAACCCCCCCCACCCCGGGCCTGGGTTTCATGAGGAGTTTGCCTTCCCGCCTCTCTCTCCCTCACTCTCTCCCGCGCGCGCGCGCGCTCTGAGCGTCGCTGCCCTCTGGATCCCCAACTGAGGTAAAAACGTTGGGCTTTTTCTAACGGCCGCCGATCGCGGTCCCCTCTGTGGTCTACTCGTCTGTATGTATTTTGGTGCCTTTTATTTTTATTTCCACCACCCGACACCACCCGCAAATCCATTCACTCCCTTCACTTAATTCATTCATAGGGAAAGGACTGACTTTGGGGCCTTTTTTTATGTATGTATATATATGTGTATATATAAAAAAACTAAAAAAATACATATATATATGTGTAAAACCGAAATATATATATATATATTTTTAAAACCGAAAAAAATACATAAAAATATTATTTTATTTTTTTTGCTCTTTCTTCATCATCATCATCGTCGTCGTCATCGTTTTTTTTTAAAAAAAAGCGCTCCCAGGACAGTCGGTTTACTCGCTTTCCAACCCCAGCGTGTAATCAGGGGAAGGATGGTGATGATGGTGATGATGGTGATGATGATGATATGGTGATAACGGTGATGATATTGGTGTTGATGATGATGATGGTGATGATGGTGATGATATGGTGATAACGGTGATGATAATGGCGACGGCGATGACGATGATGACGATGATTGTAATCATCCTCGCAGTTTGACGCAGCGTCTCCGAGACGTCTCGCGAAGCGCCTTCTTTCAAAGGGATACACTTGCCAAGTGTAGTGACTGTGTGTTTCTGTGGGCGCGCAGGCCATGATGGTTCCTGGCATTTGATGGGAGGACATTTGATCTTCCAACTTCCAGTATTTTACTGTAAAGTGACATGACTGTATTCTGCAGGTGCATTGATTGATTGATTTGATTGATTGATTGATTGTGAAAGGTATCTCCCCCCCCCCCCCCCCCCTCCCCCCAGCCAGCCCGTGCATACTTTAAGAAGAAAACCACATAAATTTCCAGTGCAGATCGAGGATTATAGTCTGCAGCTGTGGGTAGCGAGGTTTGAATATTCAGGGGTATCACAAAGTCACAGCCACCGTGAACATTGACTTGCAAAGTATTGATGTCAGAATAACACTCGTACACAGTGTCACAAAAGTCAGAACAAGGTTTTGGTCACAATTATCACGGTCCTACCTTTAACTTGTTAGATCATGGAGTAGTAATAATAATAACAACAACAACAAGATTCCATTTGTAGAGCGCCTTTCATGTCGGGAGGACGTCCCAAGGCGCTGGACAGTTGGGTCGGGACCCGAGCATTGGGGGGAAATGGTCAGGGTGAGGGGAGGGAAGGGAGGGAGCGAGGAGTGGGGAAATGGTCAGGGTGAGGGGAGGGAAGGGAGGGAGCGAGGAGGGGGAAGAGAGTCGAGAGCGGAGCTGAAGGTACGGTCAAAGAGAAAGGTCTTGAGACCGGCCTTGAAGGAGGAAAGGGAGGAAGCGGCGAAGGCACTGGGGATAGAGTTCCAGAGCCTCGGGGCTGAGAGGCTGAAGGCCACCGATGGTAGGGCGGTTGGGGCGGGGGATGTGGAGCAGATCTGAGCCAGAGGAACGGAGGGTATGGGCAGGTAGGTAGGGGGATAGTAGGTCGGAGAGGTAGGAGGGAGCGAGGCCGTGAATGGCCTTGTAGGTGAGGATACTAGTATCCTTTGAGGATACTAATACTAGTCCCTGCATTTAATGCAGCGTCTTATCACGTCTTCGAGATGTCTGAAAGCGCTTCACAGAATACACTGTAAAGTCAGTTGACTGTAATATTTTGTGGGCGAAACGCAGCAGCCAATTGTGCACAGCAGCGTCCCACAAATAGTGACCAATTTATTATTGAAGTGGCCAATTTATTATTTTTGAAGGAATGATTAACTAAATGTATGATTAACTGTACTGTATGATTTTTTTTGGGGGGGAGGAAGTATTAGAATAGTGGAGCTATATTTATATTTCTTTGGTGTGTTTTTACTTTTTTTTAACTGAAAGAAACATTGAAATTGTAATTTAAAACGGTGATGGATATTTCTCAAAGGTAAAACAATTCATTTGCAATATTTTTAAAATATTCATTTTTGGGTAATCTCATTTAAGGTGTAATTTATGGCCTCAATGGAAATGTTGTCAAAGTAAGTATTTTTTTTTGTGTGTGTTTTTTTAAACTGGATATTATAGATCTATAAAAAGGAAGTTTATTAAAAAGTTACACAAATTAGACCCTGATATCTCATTTGAATGTGTGTAAATTGAGTTATATGTAGTCTATTGTAGTTGATAGTAACACTTGAATCATTTGCAAAAGTTTGGTCTGGTACCTTTACTGGCATGCAAGATCATCTCCTTCCTCAAACTTATTTTATTACGCGTTTCCGTACCGTATGTATTTTTGTGAGTTGTCAACAACCGGAAACTTTGTGACCTACATTTTATTTCAAGTTGCAACAGTAGAGGGTGAAAGGGAAGTTGTGTGGCGCTTTGCTTTTCCTTTTCTTCCCCTTGTCTGATGCTTGGATTGATTTTTCTGGAAGATTCTCGTTATCCTTCACCATTAAATATTTTCTGGCAAATTTTGTTTTGTTAAGGTAAGAATGATAACCCTTACTGTTTTGATATTGCCACATTGGGGGCCAGGATGTAATGAAGTGAGTACCTTTTGTGGGCATCTTTTGTGGGTATCTTTAAAGCAAGTAGCTATTTTTACATGTCTGCTGGAGACTCATTTATTATAAATTTGGGATTGTAACCAAATTGTTACTCTTGTTTCCAAATAGACATTAATATTGTCAACTATTAGTTGCAAAACCTCCATCTAGGAAACTAAAATGCAATGTATGTAAAACATTGTAGATTAAATTCTTTGGCACTTAAGAGCTACATTTTACATAGGTTTACCAAATCTAGTGGCAGACAAAAACATTTTATTTAATTTGGAAACCTTTAGTAATTGTTCCAAAAGTTCAAAAGTGTCACTCTGTAATGGATGCCTTAGAAGATAATATGAAGATTCATCTTAGGCAATGAAAAGTATAAAATTCCAGTTATACTTCAAAGATAGAATACTTTAGTGAAAGTAATGGATTTTCACATACTTTACTCCTCAAAGGTTTAAACCAGGAGTTTGTCACTTTACGTTCCTGAAATATTAATTGTGCAGTTTGGATGTTGATTTCCAGCCAAAATTGTATCTACCATCAGTTCTTGTTTGATTGCAAATCAACAGCAGGAAGTTTAACTGATTATCTTCTGCCTGTTTCCCTCCCCTACATTGGTGATATTGCAGCACCCTATTTTCTGCTTCGGTACGATCAGGTAACAACATAGGCAAGGAATCAAATCTACAACCCATTGGTTGTCTTTGGTCACTATGTCAACAGGAGACCGCTGCAATTTTGGAGGAAAGCTGAGTGATGGATGTGCTTAAGCTATTCATTTCATTCAATAATCCCTCCAAAACCAAAACCAATAATAAATTGGTCATTTTCAACCCACGACTGTTTGTGGGACATTGCTGTGCGCAATTGGCTGCCGCGTTCGCCCACAAATGTACAGTCAATTCACTTTACAGTGTGTTCTGTGAAGCGCTTTGGGACGTCCTCCCGACGTGAAAAGCGCTATATCAGATGCAAGGATTATTATTATTATGGCTGTTTGTGGGATATTGCAGAGTGCAATTGTGCTGCCGTGTTTACCTACAAAAGCATGGTCACTCCATTCACGGTAAATCCCGTGAAGTGCTTTGAGGCATCCTTCCGACATGATCAAGTACTATACCAAATGCTGTACAAGGATTATAATCCATTGCAATCATCTAATCTAAGAATTTGTTGAAATCTATAAATAATCTGTTGAAATCTATAGTCAAATAAAGATGGGTAGATTTGTTTGTTAACAATCCTTGCATTTGCATGAATTAACAGATGATGTACATGCCTCTATGGACTAAATAACAATCTCAAGTTTTTCACGATAATCTGGTGTTCTAATTTGAACTTCTTTTCAACAGTGGTGAGCAATGTCGGAAGAACCACCCCCTCCATACCCTGGAGGGCCATCGGCTCCTCTGTTTGAAGAGAAAATGAGACCATCACCTTCAATAGGTAGAAGCCAACACTCTCTTAAATATGTTTTAAACAAAATGTTAACCGTATTATAGTTTAATTGTTACAACTTGAGGAACAAATCTGGATTTTATCTGCTGAAAATCATCTATTGGTCGCTGAAAGGATTCGAGCCATTTGTTTCAATAAAGTTTTGGCTATTCAGCCATCACATTGAGACATCATTTGCGATATAAGTTATTTTTATAATTCCTATGTAAAATACAGAAATGTGTACAGTTAAATGCCCAGAGCAAGTAATGATATATGTGTACGTTGACAAAAGTCAAATACCAGTCCAGGATGAAGTTGTATCTCTGCCATTTACTAAGTTAGCTGGTAATGTGACTATTATGCATTTGGTTCAGTTGCACAACAAATTAGTCTAGTCTTCAGATAATTAATAGTGCTTTCTGAAATGAGACCAAGGACGTCATCATTTGTGAATAATGTTTCCTGTTGATCTTTAGGAAGAACTAATATGTGGTATGAGAATTTAGAGTGCAATTGGATTCAATTTTATGCCACTAAGTGCATAACAGCATCAGTGTGGTTTGTGTGAGAAACTTTCCATTACCAAGAGCAATTGTCAAATCGTGGTGTAGAACATCTCATTATTTAAAAAAAAACACTGCTTTCCCAGATTTATTTTCAAATATGCTTTAACCCATAAGTGATGATATTATATGTAATGATATCATCACTTATGAGTGGAGTCCTGTAGCTTATTGGTTAGAGCACTCGCATTGCAAGCCGTGGACCTGGGATTGTTTCCCGGGCAGGGTGAAACATTGGGTTTCCTTACTCCACACGCCTCTGTTCACCTAGCAGTAAGTGGGAACCTGGCTGTTAGTCAATTGGCGGATCACTACACCAGGGATAATAATCCCTTTTTTAAAAAAAATGAGTCACTCAATCCACGACTGTTTGTGGGGCACTGCTGTGTGCAATTGGCTGTCACGTTTTGCCCACAAAATGTACAGTCAATTCACTTTTGACTCGTGGAAATAAATCTCCTCATATAAGTAACGGTTACATTTTAAGCACTCTTGTCAATTTAGAAATGTTGTAGCTTCATTTATTCCTGATTTTACGTCTTTTATGTCATTTGTATTCCTCCAGCAACCACGCAGCCTCAAGGATATTCATTTCCACCAGAAAGTGGGCCACCTCCATATGAGCCAATGGCACAACCTGGATTTGTCTCTCCTCACACACCAGCAGACGGAAGCATACCCATGCCCCCACAAGGTAAACCAGTCTTGTAAATCTATGATGATGGCTGTTGCTAACTGAGTTCGGGCATTACTATACAACACCTCTTCTGGGACTTGGCAATTTGGTCTTTTTTTTGCCTTAGTGCAGTGAAATGTAATTATGGAAAAAAAATATCAGATTTCAAAGCTTTTAAGAGCCATGTATGTGATGTAATGTATGTTTGTTTAACAGGCTACTTTTCACCAACTCATCTTCCAGCCGGTCAATATCCACCACCTGGGCATTTCCCATCACTTGGGCAGTTCCCTCCACCTGGGCAGTTCCCTCCACCTGGCCAGTTCCCTCCACCTGGCCAGTTCCCTCCACCTGGCCAGTTCCCATCCCCAGGTCATTATGCACCTTCATCTGCAGCCTACTACCCTCCTCACAGCGGACAAACAGCTACTGTCCTAGTTCCTCCAGGAGCAGCAACAACACTTACTGTAATGCAGGGAGAGACATTCCAAGCCACACCGGTCCAGACCGTGTGCCCTCATTGCCAACAGCCCATCATCACCAGGATCACCTATCAAATAGGTCTACTGAATGCCCTGGTATGCCTCTTCTGCTGCTTTGTGGGGTAAGTAGCTATTAGTCGCTGATTATTTATGCTGCTGTCACATCGATGGTACAGATGTTTCATGAAAGCTTATTTCCTGACATGATTTGCAATGTCTTTCTCGTAAGCATTCTAAAAAGCCTCATCTATTCTTCATCTTTATAATCTTTCCTTTGAGTCATTTTGGATGAATTAAAGAAAATATGCAGGCCGCACCAACTGACCATGTCCTGTGCTTTTGGGAAAGCAGGAGTGAGAATGTGATCATGCCAGTACAAAATATCAGTAGGTTCAAAACATTAAAATGTTTCATTGGGTTAAGTGTCATCGAACACTGAGATTATTTTCTAAAAGAAAAAAATGCCTTATTGCAATATGTATGTGTGTAAGAAACTTGGAAGTTTGTTGATTACAACTTTAATATGGTTTGTTCATCATCAGGCTCCGTCACTGTTGAGCACTCTAGAACGCTATCCTGCGTGAAGGTGCTATATAAATGGATGTTGTTAGATAACAGATCCACTAATACCAGTGGGCACTCCGTTATAAGTACCACAAACATTTTGAGTGATCTATCAAATCTGAAAACAAATCTCTGTGGTCAGATACGTCAAAAACCCATCGTGATTTGCTCTCTATTACCACATTGAAATTCGCTCCTTCACATCTGTTACGTGTTTAAACCAAACTTTAGTTAAAATGACTTCTCATCAAGTGACCAGTTGTTTTCTTGAGCAGTCAGAAAGAAACGTTTTCATTTTGAACAGTTAGGTTGTGGCTTTCAGGATTCATTTAGTCCTGAGCAGATTGTTGACCCACCCCCAGCACAAAGGTCTATATCCCTGTCACTGCTAGTCGCGATTACCCACTTGCGGTTATTGGTCCCAATCTTTTTCGGAACTAAACCTGGCAACATGGTGCTGAGACCCTTGTGGAAATAAGAGAGGATTCTCTGTTGGCATTGTCTGCCTTCTCCAGCATTTTCTGTTTTTAATGAGCTACCTTCTGCTCACCTTTCCAATAGTACCTGATAATCATAGGAAGAGGATATTCAAGCCTAATGCTCTCGATTGTTTCAGTTACCATTGATTTAAAGGAATTTGTTATTGTTGTTGTGGTCACAAATTACAAATCTGTTTCTCTTTAATCCCAGTTGTGATTTGGGCTGCTGTTTGATCCCCTGCTTGATGGACGACTTGACGGATGTGAAACACACTTGTCCATACTGTAAAGCTTTCATATACACGTACAAGCGTTTGTGCTAACAGTGCCACACCAATTATGGCTCTGCGTAAGGAGTATTTGGATAAGCTTAATGTGATCACTTCATGTTCATTTATTTCACTTTATGCACTGCAGTCATGTTATATAGTTGTGATACATTGTAATGTGCTGTAAATATAAGCAACTGTGAATGCCTTACTTGCAGAACCACAACTGATTTTCTGTGTTGCAGAATTTAATAACCTGTTGATTAATTCAATCACCTAATGGAACAGTTACTTACATACAGCAATCCAACTATAGTACTATACATTATTAGCAGAATTGAATCAACAGAATGTACTCTTGTACTTAGTTATAAACATCCCAGGACACTGGATCCTGTTCAGATTTATCTTTGAAATGATATTCTGTTTGGCATCCTGAGCTACTTGTAGGTATTCAATTACAGTATTGAATACTGTTTGTGAAGTAGAGATAGATAACTGGCTTTAGGATATTATCCACCATATGCCTTTGGCCCAAAAACTGTAGTAATATTTTTGTAATGTATCCTGTTTATTTTCCAAAGCATATAGTAGAATTGAATACCAAAATATTACCATACTCTATATAGAAAATTGATGAGTGTGAGCGTACACATTAAATACAGGGAAAGTTAGTATTGCTGTTGTGTGTCCCCGTTACTTCTTAATGGGAACACACAGGGATGTTTTGTAATCAAATTGAATTTAAATTTCTGTAATTTTAAAACTTTTGTCTTATTGCAGTGTTGATGAATCTGTTTATACATCTGTCCTAATGCACAGATCAATGATTGACTTTTTGAATTGATGAAACTATTGTAGATTACTCAGAAAGAGGTATCTGGAATGTATTAAGGGATGCTTCCGAACACGAGCATTTTATTTTGACAAAAGGTAAAGCTGACCGTTCAATCAAGAATGTGCTATAACCAGTTGTTTAATACACATTGATTAATTTCTCTCCTTTATTAATTTCTGAATTATCAATGAGGTTTTTTTAAAAAGAACAGATATGAGAAATGCTGTAATTATCATGAAGGTTAGCACAAAAGTAAGTTACTCAAAATCCTTTTAGCATATAATATTTTTGCAGCAGTAACAAAAAAGAATGTGTGGCACTTAAAAGTCTCGCATTGACCTTGTTTAGATTTTGTGTGGTCAAACTGTTTCTGATGAAATACTGTAAAAAAAGATTTTTTTTCTTTTTATAGTGAGCACAAACAACAAAATTTACGTTTGTATAGCGCCTTTCACGTCCAAAGGCTCTGGACAGTCAGAGTTTCGGACCTGAGCTGGAGGTCGGGATCGGGGATAATCCCTTAATATAAGCTTAATATATTAATATGAAATATTAATATAATATAAATGTACCGTAATCTCTTGATATGTGCTTAATAGTAATGCTTTTGGGAATATTGTAATGGTATGGAAATCTTACTTGGATGTATATTGAGTGTAAATGTAAAAGAAATGCCTGTGACAGCTTGTGCAATTTTTTACAGCATGCAACTGTTACCTTGGCTTGGAATTCACGCAAGGGGTGTGTAAGTCCCACTTTGCAGCACGTTTTTCCTGTTTTCAATATGAAATCTGCAAGAATTGTTAAAACTCTTAAAATTGTTAAAACTACTTTCTCAAAATGAAGGAATGCAATTCACCTTCAGTTATGTTCAATAAGCAAAAGAACTTTAAAGTATTTGGGTGGATCTGACAGAAGGATATGCCCATGTGCCCCAAAGTGAAGGATTTGTATTACTTGTGTCATGTTTTAATGTAATTATTTATTGTGTTTGTACGAGAAAGGAAACCAGTGTTATTTAGGTTTGGCGGTCTTCGATGGTTAGGAAATGTGTTATCTGGGTTATTTCTTTTTCGTTCAAGCCATTTTTGGTAGGTAAGAAAGTCGAAACTGCAGTGATTCTTACTGTGATGATAAAAGCAACAGGAAAACTTAGTAATTGATGTTCTGCTAAGCATGGTAACTGGAAAGCAGAAGTGATTGGGCGTTGCCTGTGCAATGGAGAACTAAAAGTCTCAAATTGTCCTACTAAACCGGGTACATTTACTTTTTTGAATATTGTGTTCACTTGACATGTCTAAATATCCACTTGTGGTTTTGTTAATTGATGCCCTGTTTTGCGATGCATTGTGAAGGGTAGTATGGATTCTAATTTTAGCTGCGTAAGGGACCAAGTTACAAGTTGAATTGTTCATTTGCTATATGCAACCTTCACATGCAAGCACCTTTAGTAAAACGGAGCAATGAAAAGATTGGAAGAGAGGATGCATCACATTTTCTAAGTATAATGGTTTCCGTTCCACCAACCGATTGTAATTTTTTTAATGTGGATTTGAGAGATCACCAATAAAGATTGTTGCTCGTAATGGAAAAAAAATTATTTAGCCAAGAATCATTCTGACCCGAGTTGCAGCTGGTAGGTCAAGGGGGGGGGGGGGGGACTTTGTGTTTAACCTAAGGAATTCAAGTTGAAGATTACACTTTAAGCACTTTTAAAATTGTGATTATGTTCGAATTGTTATTTTTAATACCAATGGGTCAAAATCACAATTAAAAATGTCATGCACACAAGAATGCTCACGTTTTGCACTGTAACGTTTTATGTTAAATGTCTGCCTGTTTCCCTCTCAATTTGAATGACTATATTCTCTATTCAGAATGATTTACAAGACCTTCTTTATCACTATTTTTCATGAGAAGAGGAAGTGAGAGGGAGTCTTAGCATTACTCATAATCCTATTGTGGTAAATGAAGGCTGCCAAACCTAAATCTGTATCATTTTAAAGACATTTTTGTTGGAAAGATATTCCATATACCACAATGGTTGTTACTTTGACAGAATCATTAAAAAAAATAACATTTCTGTACACAATTATTGAGGTCAGAATGAATAGCTCGAGTCAGTTTGTGTGCAAGCTAATGGGGTATTTCCTGCAATCTCATCTAATATGTATAAAGTGTACTACACTTCCTGCTTCTAGATCAATAAATGCTGATGGCACTATTATTCGTCAAGCTCTTAATTTCAATTCCTTTTTAATTTTGTAACCTTTTCTCACGTACGATATTCAGAAACTTAATCGCAGGTAAGAATTTCTTTTAACTTGTGCTCTCGACATGTCTGAGCTCAGTCCATAATTCGTGAGTTAACCGAATGTTATTTTCAACAAGACCCAATTATTTTCTTGAATTCCTGGGATAGTTTTGGAAACGACCCACCAAAACATTCATAGGCAAATAAGGTATGGGATCCAGTGAGTTTTATAGGCAGTCAAATACTGTGCATTAAAACTACAAAGGGTTTAAGATACCCTAGAACGCAAATTTGCCAAAGTCACATGAATAATGTATCTTTTAAGGGGAACTTTGTGCAACTGGTTTGTCTAGATGCAATATATGAAAACATCCAACCATTTTATCAGAATCTTTTGGTTTTATGCTTTAGAAGTGCTTGCAAGATGCAGCTTGTGGTAGCTAGTGCTTTAAGAACTTCCTTTGATAATGAATTTCTACCTCCTGATAATAATTATTTCATTCGTTGAATGTTGTAAACCAGGAAATTCAACTTTAATGCATTGTCTTCATTCAGATCAATTCAGTCAAATGTATTTCTCTAACAGGTTTTACATCCCTAACATAATACAGCCCCATTCCAATTCTCCTAAGAATCCTAGTCGCTACTCACATTCACAACGCAGAAAAGCCCTGATAAAAGTGAGGTGCTACACAGAATAAAGAATTTTCAACTTCCACTAGAAACGTATTGAATCTAAAGGAATAAATGCTAAGGGGCAATTAAAATGTGGGTGAAAGGTAAGGTTTATTTACAAATCCGACAGATTGTCTACGAGTAGAACCGTGCGTACACTCTGTTTCATTATTTTCTTCATGAGCTGGCAATGTTATGATTTGAATTCACTCTATTACTCAATCCCTCCATCGATGTCCACACTCTTGATTGCAGCACTTGTAAAATGTAGTCATAGGTTCATCGGCAGACCTGGTTTGTATCTGCATGAAGTATGCTCGAGGATGTTCACATTTAGGACATTTTTCTGTGTAAACATATGAAAAGGTGAGAAATTACTTTGCGTAAACGGACTGTGTACCTTAATAACGCAGTGATAACCAGGTCACTCTGACACTGTACAATGGCTTTCTGTGTAGATTGTACACCATTAAGCAACTCGATTTGCTCAAGGGTTTGCAATTTTGTGTGTGCCCAACCAGGTCTCTTGTAATTCTGAAAGGTTTCCACTATAATCCCAAAAGATGATTATTATTATTATTAAATAGAAATGGAAAAAATGTGCTGATGGCTGATATATTTATCCAATGATCAAGTGAGTCATCAATCTCCAGTCTATGCTGAATTATCTGATTTGGGGAGATGGAAGATGCCTAGATTGAGCAGTGATGAAATCAGCCATCAACCCAATTAATCCCGTGGGAATGTGGGTTTGAGTCGATAGATTCTCCATTCATTTTTCAAAACAGTTTGAACGCAGCCTAGAGCTATTTGTTGAGACTTGTTCCTTGCCCCAAAACATTGGCATTTCGGGATAGAGGTTCAGAATATTGTTGGGCACCTGTGCAATATTTACGATTCCCAAAATGCTGCAAATGGAAGATGCGTCAACGCTGTATTAGTTGTGCTCGTGTGAAGGTACATTTTGATTCATAGCCTACCTGGCGTCGAGTCAACATTTTCCCAAGCAGCAGCACCACCCAACACGTCGTCAACTTCTTTTAGTTTGGGATATTTTCTGTTGGTTATCTGCAGCAGCCAAAGAATAAGTTACCAAATATTTGTGGCACGTTCAAGCAAGTGCAACGCATAGAAACGGCAAACGTCGTTTAATTCCGACCTCCTCCCCTTAATGCGGTGGTGAGCGACCGCTTTGGTTGGCCGACAAAAATAGATGGAATATTTCTTGGGTTTATGCTTCAGTTTTAGGCTATTTCGTGATATGTGCGCGGGCCTGGCTCAGCAGTAGCACTCTCGCCTCCGAGTCAGAGGGATGAGGTGGTGGATTCAAGCCGCGCTTTGTGACCTGGAATCGCATAGTCTTAATGCAGTGCTGGGGCGGGGGTGGGGGGGGGGAGGGTGTGTGTGTGTGTGTTGCATTGTCGGAGGTGCCGTCCGTTCAGATGAGACGTTAAACCGAGGACCCATCTGCCTGCTCAGGTGGGCGTTTAAAAAAAAAAAAAAAAAAAATCTCACGGCGCTATTCGGAAAGAGGGAGTTTCTCCCTCCCGGTGTCCTGCCCGAAAAATCACTCAAATACATAAACAAACAAATTAATAAATTAATAAATAAATAAGTAACTGGCCGCCCACAAACACGGCTGTTTGCGGGACGCTGCCGGGTGCCGTCGGCCCCGCTGCGTCTCGCCCACGGAAACGACAGCCGGTCCGCTTGGCGGTAATAATCTGCGCCGCTCTGTTTACTGGAGGGTGTGATACGGCGCTATATTCAAACGGAAGGATTATTATTTCTAATATGAATGGTTATTTTGCGCAACACTGAAAAGGTCTCACTGAACCCCCCCCAGTGTACATGGGGAGGTCCCTCTGTACAGCTCAAGCTTCCCTACCCCCCCCCCACACCACCACCACCAAACCCCCACCACCACCAACCCCCCCACCACCACCACCAAACCCACCCCCCCCCACACCACACCACCACCCCCCCCCACACCACCAACCCCACGCCACCCACCACCCCCCACACCCCACCCCACCACCCCCCCCCCCCCCCACCAACCCCCCCCCCCCCGCAGGGGTGAGAGGGCTATGTTGACCCCCGGCCTCTGACCTTGCGGGTGATGTTGTGAACATAGGGACAGGTGTTACAGGCGAAACGATAGCATTTCTGACCCTCCTCCACGATCAGCACATTGCCACAGGTGGGGCAGAAGAGCAGCATCTCCCCCCTCCCCTGTCTCCCCTCCTCCCCCCCCTCCTCCCCCTCTCTCCCCCCTCCCGCTCTCTTCCCCTTTCTCCTCAGTGGCGGTGGAGCCGAACCTTTTAGAACCGGAAGGCGCAATCGCCGGAAGCGCCCGCCCGCCGGAAGCGCCCGACCGCCGGAAGTGTCGGCCGCCGCCGGAAACCGGAAGTGGTCGGGGATGGACCTGGTGAGCGCATCGCCCAACCGACGAATCTAACAACAACAACAACCACCAACGCCACCAACACCACCATCATCATCATCATCGCCGCCACCACCACCGCCATCATCATCATCTGAGCTAATTTGAGGAGCCGGGGGATGGCGGAAGACGCTGTAGACATTAAAGAGGAGGAGGAGAAGGAGGAGGAGGAGAGAAGGGAAGGAGGAGATGATGATGATGACGATGATGACGATGGTGGCGGACAAGGAAAGGAGGAGGAGGAGGAGGAGGAGGAGGAGTTGTCACACGCTGATATCCTGGACCTGTTTCAGGAGGGTCTGGTCAGGATAGTCCAGGATCCTTTACTGTGCGATCTGCCCGTCCAGGTGCGTGTCAACCATCACCGCAATCGGCCACTGCTGTAACCAGATTAACGATGAAAATAATAATAACAATACGACTATAATACCCATAGCAATTAATAACCACGACCGCAGTGCAATAACTATCAATAATAATCACAATGGCAGTGCACTGATTAGTAATAATAAGCACAATAATGGCATAATGATAATTGATAATGATGTGATCGTCGCAATGAATGATAATAATTAGTAATAGTAACATATAATTAATGAGAACCCCAATTACTCATCGTATATTAATAATCATGATATAATAATAAGTAATAATAATATAACAATCGTAATAACAACTGATAATCATATAATAATAACCATAACCACAATAATGACACTTAATAATCATCATCATGATAATAATCCTTGCATTTGATAACAGGGTCTTATTGCGCCGTCTCAAAGCGCTTCCATCACAGGATCTCACTGTAAAGTTTTGAGGTTTTCACGAAGGGAAAACGAGTTGCTTTCCTTTGTGGCTGTTACCTGTTTGGAAATGAAACTGTTATCACTCGCGCCGACAATTCTACTGGCGCCCTGGGACGTATTTTCGACCCGAAGGGCGTTTATACAATTGTAATTTGTTGTTGCTGTGGTTGTAAAGTGAATTGACAGTGTGTTTTGTGGGCAAAACTATCTTTCTTGTTGAGATAAAATCAAGCAATCATTTCTATAAGGAGCACCTACGCAGAAAATCACACTTGGTGCGATCCATATCCGTTTCGCCCACAAAACATACAGTCGGTTCACTTTACAGTGTATTCTGCGAAGCGCTTTGAGACATCTCTCGAAGATGTACAGTCAATTTACTTTACAGTATATTCTGTGAAGCGCTTTGAGACGTCCAGAAGATGTGATAAGGCGCTGTATCAAATGCAAGGAATATTATTATAGATGTGATAAGGCGATATATCAAATGCCAGGAATATTATTATTATTATCTGCACATTTTATTGGTCAGTAACTTTTGAGGTTAAACCCAGTGAATTTGTGTATCTAATGAACTTTATTTTGGAATTATTGAGCTGAAGCAGACAGAGGGGTCAATCTGCACCGATCTCTAAAAATAACACTTTTTATTGCTTACTTTTCCCCCTGTACACGAATATAAAAAGATTGCTATTTTCAGAGATTGGCCTGTAATGGAGCTGAAAATGCCTTTGTGCTTATAACCTTTAAGCTTTCTGAAGAAGTCTTTGTTTAATATCAGCTCTGCATAATAATCTTTGCATTTGATACAGCGCCTTATCACATTGTTGGTCACTTGAATTTTGCTTTTATGCAGGTTACTTTGGAAGAGATAAATTCACAGGTTGCACTGGAGTATGGGCAGGCAATGACTGTCAAAGTAAAGAAAGGAGATGATGAAATTATGCGTGAGTACATTTTGTTTTCCAGTACTGCACTTTTTCAAAGTGGGAAGGATTCAAGTCAGCAGGTTGCTTTCTTTTGTAACTGTTACCTGTTTGAAAATGAAGCTCTTATCACTTGCGCCTACAATTCTATGAGTGTTCACTACATTCAGCAGAAGAATGCTTCTTGTCTGTAATTAGCAGGTGCCTACATTTTAACGGAGCTTGATAATGATTGCTTTCTTTCTTACCTTCCTCAGCTATCGTTGTGATTCAGAATGACAATGTCCTGGACCTGNAAAAAGCCATTCAGAGATATGTACAACTGAAACAAGAGCGCGAAGGAGGAACACAGTATATTAGCTGGTAAAAAAAAAACCTTCAAAAATAAAATCAATTTAAAAAATAACGATATGGTCACTGAATCCACGACTGTGGGACACTGCTGTGCTCAATTGGCTGATGCATTCCGCCTTCAAAATATACAGTCAATTCACTTTACAGTATATTACTGTGAAGTGTCTTGAGACGTCTTGAAGATGTGATAAGGCGCTGTTTCAAATGCAAGGATTATTGTTACAAATTAGCTTGTGTAAGACATTTTCTGATGACAGAGCAACTGAGCTGAAGTTTGGATGACATATAACTAAAGATCTGTTACATCCATCAAGCCCCCACTCCTTAGTATTAATTATTTCTGTGACTGCTGCCATGATAACCTGCAAAGTTTTCAGGGTGGGCATCTCAAAGCGTGTCAACAAGATACCCTGCAAAGTGTAGCGACTCTATCTTGTCGACAAATATTTCCATTCAGTTCATAATCACGTGTGGAAAATCGGGATTCTTTACTTGATTCAACAAGAGTTGCATTTACGTAGAGCCCCTCACACGGGGTAGGTCCCAGAGCGCTTGACAGTGCACAGTAGAAACGTATAGGGAAAAGTGTATCAATGAGTTATGTGCGATGCTGTACAATGATCACTGTTTTTATATTTTGAACAGGAGGTATGTCTGGCGGACTTATCATCTGACGTTCGATGGACAAAAACTAACCGATGACAAAAAGAAACTCAAAGAGTAAGTGTTAAGAAAACAAACAGAATCTTTTATTCTCCTCAATTCATTCGAAACTGCTGGCGATTGGCTTCCTTTTATCGTTCCCCGCTGGGCTCGTTTTTTTCGTTTGTTTTCACGAAAGCCATGCGACCGCTGCGTCCGTGCTAAGATCTCATTGTAAAATATAATTAAAATGGTAGATCTACCAGATAATAATCTTTTTCGTTTGTTAGAGCATGTGTTCGCATGTTTGCGTTGTTCGGGAGGGAGGGGGGGAGAGGCGAGAAAGAATCCTGTCTTCAGGCAAAACTGGCAAAAAAAACATGCAGTGTGTCGCGAGTCCTCCAGAGGCAATAGGGCTACATTACTGTAAGATTAATCATGTCTGAAGTAAATACAGCCCAGTCCATGTTGCTCCATGAATTCCAGCAAAGGATCGAAAAATAGTCTGTACAAATGAGCACGAAACAATAAAGGTGTTTCTTGAAGAACGAAACTGCGAGGGTATCCTGACCCCCCCCCCCCCCTCAAAATGTAACGTTTCTGGTTACAGCTACGGCATACGGAACCGAGATGAAGTTACCTTCATAAAGAAACTTCACAACAAATAAAAGGTTGGCATTTCTTTCAATAGTTCAGGGAGGGGGGGCTGGGGGGAAGGGTTTAAGGTATTTTCTTTTTACTTTCAAGGGGGGAGGCTTTTAATAATCCGTTCATTTGATAGAGCGCCTTATCACGTCGTTGAGACGTCTCAAAGCGCATCACAAGATATACTGTAAAGTGTAGTGACTATTTTATGGGCGAAATGCAGCAGACAGTTGCTCACAGCAGTGTCCCACAAACAGTGAATGACCCAATTTTTTTTTGAGTTTATTACCCCGGAAGTGATCCGCCAATTGACTAACAAGCGGGTTCCTACTTACCTCTAAGTAAACAGAGGCGTGTGGAATAAGGAAACTTGCCTAAGGTTTCCTCCCTGCCCGGGAATCAAACCCAGGTCCTTTATTAAGAAGCTCCACTCACTTTGTCACTGTGTAGTATATCAGAACTTGCAATTGAGAGATACAGTTTTGTAATTCCTGGCTGTCTTTTAATGGATATTTTTGTACTTTAGGCTTTTCCATGAGGACTATTTGATCGATGCTTTCATTCAGAATCTATATGACTGTTGCATTGAACTTGTACAGATTCACTTCCACTTTTCCCTGTTTTCAGTGAAAGGCCTTTTCTGAATCCGACTACTAGGGAAGAAGAGAATTCGCCTAGAATTGTCATGTCAAAGAAGAATAGCGTTCTGAAAACTAATGTTATTTATAAATGTACATTATATAGGATATTGTACATAGAATAAGTANTTTTTTCAACAGAATAAAAGTTTTTTTGGTTGTCTTAATGAGCATTTTGCAGCCTTCAGTATTTGATTTCATGTTGTTATTTAATTACTAGCTGAAGTCCTGTAGCTCAGTGGTTAGAGCACTCGCTTTACAAGCGAGAGACCTGGGTTCGATTCCCGGCAGGGCTAAACCTTGGGCAAGTTTCCTTACTCCACACACCTGATAATAATCCCTCAAGAAAAAAATAAAAAAAATAATTTTGTCACTCAATCCACGACTGTTTGTGGGGACGCCGCTGTGTGCAATTGGCTGCTGCGTTTCGCCCACAAATATACAGTCAATTCACTTTACAGTATATTTTGTGAAGCGCTTTGAGACGTCTCAACGTGATAAAGCGCTTTATCAAATGCAAGGATTATTAATATTTATTGTTACTAGCTGTACCTGTTGCAGCTTCACTTGCAATCAAAGGCTCCAATATGGAATGTAGATTGTAGACAAACAGACAGACATTTCGTCTTTAACCATACTCAGGTGGGAGAACTCCTGTGGGAGACCTCAGTGGGAGGATTCCTGCTGGGTGGTCTACTTGTTGGAGTGCATACAAGTGTGATGAGCTTGTTTAAGGCATAGCTTTTCTCCGCTAATTTGTTGCAGGATATATTATAGGTACAGTCAGATTTATCTCTAGAAGGGTGTGTGATTTCCTCTGTCGCTACTTCGATGCAGAATGCCACGCATACCTTTTTGGGGGACTTAATTGCAGCATTTTTAAAAATATATGAATATAGCTCATCAACGATAGGAGATTCCCCCACCACCCCCCCAAAAAAAATACGCCCATGACACTCCGCCATGCAAGGCTTTTCCGATGAGGTATAAATCATGTCTCTATGTCAAATCGGTTATTGGGTTCTTGGCAGACATTTCGTCTATTAGTATAGAAGATAATATTCTGAGTGTAGTCAGGGAAGGCCGGATGTGCTGTGACAATGTCCTTGGTTAGTGACACACAAACTATCAGCAGGGCAAAATGTTGGGCAAGTTTGCTAACTCCACGCCTCTGTTTACCTCGCAGTAAGTAGGAACCCAGTTGTTGGTCGATTGGCGGATCCCTTTTCTGGGGGCAATAATTCCTTCAAAAATTAATAATTTGATCACTCAATCCACTAGAATATGCAGCGCAGAAACAGGCCAACTGGTCTATGTCGGTGTTTATGCTCCACATGAGCCTCCTCCTGCCATTCCTCAACTGAGCCTTCAAGCACAACCTTCTATTCCTTTCTCCCCCATGTACCTCTCCAGCTTCCCCTTAACAACTCAACAACTCTTTATGGTGGCATGTTCCACATTCCCACTACTCTCTGTGTGAAGAAATGTCTTCTAACTTAACTATTTGAACTATTTGTGACCATTTTAGTCACTTCCTCAACTAAGCCTGCGAGGATAACCTTCTAACACGCAATACAGTCAGATTTGAGAAATGGCTCAGCTGATTGACAAGGAGTGGCAAGGACTCGGAAGTATTTGCTTGAAAACCCAACACTATTTTCATTGGACAATGGTCATATGTATGTATGCATGTATGGATGCAGCAGGTATAAAAGTAAGATTAAATTGAGCAAGGTGGGAGCTTGTGGTTGGATTTGCAGATTAAACTTGACTCTTTTCTTAGGAAAGAAAAAACCCACTAAAGGTAAGTGCTCTTTTCCTTGATTGTGTTCATACCAAATTTGCAGATTGCCTCGTGCTGATCAGTAAATGTAAAACAAGAGAATAAAGCAGAATAAACTGGTCTGGGTGAAAGTTTCAAGGTTCCTTTTTTGGGTGCTGTGCTATTAGATCTTGCTAGTAAATTGTGACCAAGGAACCCAAACGGGCCGGGAATGGGGAGAGGGTAATTTATTTTTGTCGGAGGGAATAAAATGTAATGACCCTCAATGGTGAGTATATTTCTAAACGCTGGAAATGGGAAGATTGTGGAGTCCTGTAGCTCGTGGTAAGACCGCTCACCTTGCAAGCGAGACACCTGGATTTAATTCCCGGCAGGACGAAACCTTGGGCAAGTTTCCTTACTCCACACACCTAATAATAATCCCTCAAGAAAAAAAACAGTAATTAATTGATCACTTCAATCCACGACTGTTTGTGGGGACGCTGCTGTGCACAATTGGCTGCCTCGTTTCGCCCACAAATATACAGTCAATTCACTTTACAGCATATTCTGTGAAGCGCTTTGAGATGTCCAGAAGACGTGAAAAGCGCTATATCAAATGCAAGGATTATTATTATTATATTAACATTTATTATAAGATTTACCACCCGACAAGCCGAGGAGCACTTTTGCTCAAAATAAAAACTATTTTGAGTTAAGCGTCAATTTGAATATAATGAGGCATCTTATAATAATACCGAGCCCTAGTTGGGTGATATTATTATTTATAACAGTTAGATAGTTGGATTTTTTGTAATCTTTTATTAAATTAATCGGGTAAACACAGTCTGTGACCTCACAGAATCATAGAATCTTACTGAAGGAGGCCATTCGACCCATCGTGCTCTTTGAAAGACCCATGAAACTACTCCCAAATCCCCCGCTCTTCCACCATAAGTGTTACCTCTTCAAATACCTACCCAGTGCACTGACCCAAATACCAGTCTAACCTACTTTAACCTGTTCTATCGATACCAACCCCTAAAAGACATCGTAATATTCAGTGCCATTTTTTTAAAATTTGATCTTAACTTTCCCCGTTTTTTAATGTAAAAAAAAATCATTGTGTGTTTCCTTCTTTAGAATTTCTTTCTTTTGAGAACAACTTAATGATCCTGATCCAGATTAATTCTGTTAACTTGGTGCCTTAATCTGCAGAAACCTGTTAATCCAGTTTATGCAAATTATTATGATGGGAAACCATGTGGAAATTTGTTTTTTTCTCTCTTATGGTATTTTATCTCTTGGTTTCATGCCTACCAACAACTTTTGGTATGTGGCAGAATTCCTGGTGTTTGATCAAAAGGCAAAGATTACAATTAAAGAAGTGTAAGGTGTACAACTACAATAACTAGTAAATATGATTTTCATGTAGAAATGGTTTCAGTCCAGAATTGGATTAGAAATACAGGAGGCCATTCAGCCCAGTTCTGGCCTATTCTGATTCTGTAATTTTATTAAATCATGACCGATCTTGTATTCCCATTTCTTACCTTTTCTCCATTAATATTCCTTGCTTCTCAAGTATCGCTCTCCCTTTTAAACACCACCTTTTGGGGTTATGCAATGCTCAGAACACAGTCTAAAGGCAGAGGATTTTCTTAGCTGGGATTACATTTGATACGTAGAATCCTGCAAAAAAGCTATAACCTGTTGTCTTGAGTTTCAGGTGACATGTATGCCAAAAACAATCCTAGCGCACCCCCCGCATACAGTGAGACATTTCAACCACCATTCGTTCAGGTCCAGGAATAGTGGTGGTTGGAGGCAGTTCAGGTGAGTCACATGTAAGAATTATTATAATAATAATTATTATTATACAGTTGTCATAGAGCTGTACTTACAAGCTTTTTTTTGCAGTTGGGGATCATCCGACACGAATGACTTGCCCGGCCTGTAAAGAACAAATTATTACGAATATCCACCACATGCCGGGAGCATTGACATGGCTCGTATGTTCTGGTTTGGCTTTGTTTGGGTAGGTTTTCCTAATAGCAATGTTCTTTCCCTGGAGAATCCCTGAAATCTGGTTCTAAGCAGTTGTTGATAGTCAATTGGCGGATGGCTTTTCCGGTGGTAATACTCCCTTTAGAAAAAAATTGGTCATTCAATCCACGACTGTTTGTGGGGACGCTGCTGTGCGCGATTGGCTGCTGTGTTTCGCCCACAAAATATACAGTCAATTCACTTTACGCTGTATTCTGTGAAGCCCTTCGAGACACCTCAATGACGTGATAAGGCTCTGTATCAAATGCAAGGATTATTATATGTGGGAGTCATATATGGATATTTTTTCCTTTTTAAAAGGCAACTTTTTTTCCCAGTCAAATACAGTACTTTAAATTATTTCTCTTAAATTCACAGCTGAAATATATTCTCCTAATACCTCCAATTGACGCAACCGTTTATCTCCGCTATCCAAACCCACCTCTGGTTCTCTGTCAGGCCATAATCTTTTTACAATTGACTGCTCTAATTACTGTGCCTTTGTGTTGTTTGACCTTCTCATTAAAATAACCCCCAGGCAGTTCCTAAAATCATCCTCAGTGTTCTTTGCAAATCTTTGTGTTGTGGTGTTTGTTGGGACATCGTCCCAATGTGAAAGGCGCTATACAAATGTCATCTTGTTGTTGTTGTTGTTGTTTGAAAGATCTCGAAGCAGCACTTGACACTTGTTCTTGTCCTGACAGATTTGTGGTTGGCTGCTGTTTGATTCCCTTTTTCATGGACTCTCTCCAGGATGTGAAACACACTTGTCCAAACTGTAGCATGTACATCGGTACCTTCAAACGCTTGTAAAGAACCCACTTCAAGAGCCATTCACGTTTCAAGAATAATTCGGATTATGACACATTAGCAAAGAGTTCGCAATGTACATGCGTATTTGCTCACATGACGACTTAAATTGCCTCGAGTCCTGGTGATTTATAGCTGGCCTTTCCCATGCAAACCTTTCAACTTTCCCTGGTGTCAATCTGACTCATTTGGTGCCTCTGAGTTAGAAGGTTATGGGTTCAAGCCCCAATTTTGGACTTTAAGCTCATACCCATCTATGTTATCTGGATGCAAAATTATAGATTTTTGCACATTTGCTTAATATCCAAGTTGTTGTTGTTATATTACATTTATTCACAAACATCCTTTTATAGGCATTATCCCAATCTGTTTTTTAATGCAACTTTTCATACGAGTGCAATACGTGCAAATTAAATTTGAGTGATTTTTAGAATAAAATTAATTGTGTTTAGGAATAATAAAGGGATTAGGAACGTAATAGTGTGTTTTTTTTCAACATGTAAAAGGAGGCTGTAGATGTATTTAATTGGGAATAAAAAGTTTGAGATGTATTCTTTCAGTGTGTCATAAAAATAATGTGCCCTTATTATATGCAAATCATGAGATGATAACAAGCTCCTACTTGCTGTTCGATGAATGTTAACTAATGTCTTAGTCTCCCCTCATCTGCCAGAAAACAGCAATTCGAATGACGTTTGTTGCTTTCTTGTAAACTCACAACACACAACACTTGCGCCTCACATTAGGGTAAAAAAATTAAACGCTGTGGTAACAGGAAGCACAGGGAGGAAAAATGTTAGGCACAAATTCACGGTGAGTCAGAGGATTGGCATTTCATAGAATCATAGAATCCTTCAGCACAGAAGGAGGCCATTTGGCCCATTGTGCCTTTGCTGCTCTTTCAAAGAGTTACCAACTGATCCCACTCCTACGCTCTTATCCCACAGCCCTGCACATTCTTCCTTCCCAGACTTAGGAGGCGGCGGGTGGGTGGGGGTTGTTGTGGGGGGGGGGTGGGTGTTGTTGGGGGGGGTCGGGGTTGAATTTTCAATGCGCGAAGTACGCTCACACTATTGTAACATTAGACTGAAGAGATTCAGTGCAAGTTATTAAGCCAAGTATTGCAGTTTTCTGCCTGACTTGAATTGTTAGCGCTGTCCTGACAGACTGTCTGTCGGACATCAAGTCCTGGATGAGGGCAAATTTCCTACAGTTGTGAACGAGTGAACGAATGTGAACGAGACTGAGGCCCTCCTGATTGGCTCACGCCAGCGCCTCCGCACCTCAGGCTCTGGCAGCATCAACCTCCATGGTTGCACACGACAACTGACCAAGCCAGTCAGGAACCTGGGTGTCTTGTTCGACCCTCAACTTCTTTTCTCCCCCCCATCCAAGCCATGACCCGCTCTGCCCTCCCTCACCTCCGTAACATCGCCCGACTCCACCACTACCTCACCCCTCAGGCCACTGAAACTCTTGTTCATGTTTTCATCACCTCCAGGCTCGACTGAGCAAACTCCCTGGTTGTCGGCCTTCCCAACTCCTCCCTCCACAGGCTGCAGATAATCCAGAACTCTGCAGCCCGTGTCCTCTCCGCACCAAACTCCATGACCCCCTCTCCCCCACTCTCGCCCGACTCCATTGGCTCCCTATCCTTCAGAGGATCCAGTTCAAGATCCTGGTCCTCACATACAAAGCCCTCCATGGTCTCGCCCACACTACCTCTGCGACCTCCTAACCCCCAACCAACCCACCCGCTCCCTCTGCTCAGCCGGCTCTGGCTGCTCCATGTCCCCCGACCCACCCGTCCATCATTGGCAGGAAAACCTTCAGCCACTCTGCTCCCAACCTCTGGAATTCCATCCCCCAGTCACTCCGCCTCGCCCCCTCCTTTGCCTCCTTCAAGTCCCACCTCAAGACCCTCCTCCTCGACCATGCCATCGGCCCCCTCCCTTCCCTTCTACCCCCTGACCCCAGCTTGGGTCTGAAATGCTGTACTCTGTCCAGCGCTTTGGGACATCCTCCCGACGTGAAACGTGCTATACACATGTAATCTTGTGTTGTTGTTGGTGAAGAAAGGGAAGAGATTAATGAGGCAATTAACCTCACAGCTGGTGCCTTAATTGTAATCATTGTTGCAAGAACTTCCAGGCCACTGAACCTTATTGGAACACTTGGCAGGCTTTCCGAGCCAACACAAGAGGTCAGTTATTCACCATGGCGTTGGCAGCCATTGCAATCACCTTACTGACCACAAGAACTTGCATTGATACAGCGCCCCTCACGCAGAGTAGGGTCCCAGAGCGCTGGACAGAGGCGGAGCACGACACCGAGCTGGGGGTGGGGGGGCTGATGGGGGGGCGGTGACCGTACACACGGTCAAAGAGGAAAGTCTTCGGACCTGACCTGAAGCCGGGGAAGGAAGGATAGAGGAAGAGTGTTCCAGAATTTCGGGGCGTACCGATCAAGCCGTTCTGCAAGTCCTCTTGTGTGGCAAACGTGTTTTAAATGTTTTGCGCGATCAAATGTCAAAGCCCGATAAAGAGATCACTTTCTGCTGATTTCTCTCAACTTTCCCGTTCTCTGTTCTCTTTTCTTGTTCGGTTGGTTTTATTTCTGGCATCTCCTTTCAGTAGCTCTCCTTCCCTCTATTGGCCAAGAGAGGAGCAGCCTCGGTGCAATGTCAAATGATTCGTTGCCATAAAATCAGATTATCCTCTTTTTCCCCCACTTTTAAACGGATAATAAGCCTGGCATTTGATCCAGCGCCTTGTCATGTCTTCGAGACGTCTCAAAGCGCTTCGCTGGTTATACGGTAAAGTGAATCGACTGTGTAATTTGTGGGCGAAACGCGGCAGCCAATCGCGCACAGCCAGGATTATTATTATTAAATCAAACGAAAGGATTATTATTGTTATTATTATTATTATTATTGCATTGACGCACCATGCAATTGGTTTGCTTTAGAGAGGGCATAAATGTTGGAGAGTTTTTTTAAATAAGGGGTTAAAAACCCAATAGACCCAGTTCATTGGATGTATATGCAGTATAATTTATTGACCCCCTTGCACTGCCGGAACCAAAGCTACCAGTGTGACAGAAATTCAGAATTAGAAACCAGATACTTAACTTACTCCAGATCACTCTCACTGGAAATGAGGAAACTGTCCTGGAACTTTTAAACCAAATTCCTCATCAGGTTTAAAAATTCAGTGGACTTGGCTACGCAATAGATGGATTTATTTCAGCTCAGTTCTCACTTACACTTCACCCTGTGGAATGATTTGGTCCCGAAATACCTTTTGGAGTTGGGGTTCAAAACGGAATTGATGTCGGAGATGCTTTTCCTTCGGATGAGACGTTAAAGTGAGGTCCCTCTCGGTGTTGGTTGAGATGGACGTTAAAGGTCCCACGGAGGCTAATCAGAAAGAGAACAGAGTTTCTTTCTCCTGGTGTCCTGGCCACCAATCCTCCGGATAAAATTGGTCTCTCACTTCACGGCTGTTTGCGGTCTATTGTTATGTGCTAATTGCCCAGAGAGTTCACCTACAAAATGCACAGTCACTACTCTTTACAGAAACGTTGTGAAGCAACTTGAGAGGTTCTGAATGATTTGGGGCGCTGTATCAAAGGCAAAGGTTATTGTAATTATTGTTATTGTTAGGAATCCCTTGCTGTTTGGTGCCTTTTATTGCCGCTGTTGCGCAATTGACTGCTGCGTTTCACCCACAAGACACACAGTCAATCCACTTTACATTATATTCCGCGAAGCGCAAATTGAGACGTTTCAACGACGTGATAAGGCGCTATATCAAATGGAAGCATTATTATTACTATTGTTGTTATTATTGTATTGGGACGTTCCGTTGATCTTTCGAGTGACTTTGACCTTTAATGTGGTCGGTTTGTTATTTGGATAGATCTCATCTTTCTGAACATTTAACCAGGAAACTTTTGGAAAGTTTTTCTTCCCCAAGCAACGGGATTATTAAGGTAACCTGAGACGTGCAGGATTGGCTGAAAATTTTGAGCTTCCCCCTTTCCCCTCCCTCTCCCTCCCTCCCTCCCTCCCCTCCTGCTCACGTCTGGTGGAAGGAGTCAAATATCCTGAAATCTTTGGCAGAATAAGGATTCCTTTCACTGTGGCTAAAGAGGAGCCTTGTGGAGCAAAGACCCCATGTTGTGGGGCTTTGCAACTTAGCCCTCATCGAGGAGACCGACACAATGATAAGTTTGCAAGGAGTTGTCTTTCTGTGCATTGTTGCAGGCACGTTAGCAGGTAAGTACTAACATTTATATATAATATATATATACATATACATGTGTGTGTGTATGCAGATCCAGATCATGCTGATTAATTAGTAATTTGCCCACAAATCAATTCAGTAGCAATACTGAATTATCTCCGGAATTTCAAGAGTCATTTATTGAACAGCAAACAAAAAAGCCCATCACAGTTAAGTCAACTGGATTCAGATGCTTTACTTGCAGTGAGTTTGCGTGCAAAAGCCATGCAACGATAGACCGCTCGTATTCCGTGTGTAAAAGTTGTTTCCTGCGTGAAAAAGAGAGTCGCTACATCATTTGAGTCTACTGTTAGAGGCGATTTGTACCCCATTCTCTCCTCCTCCCCCCATGTGTTTAATGCATCTGGGATTAAACAGATCTGCACATTGGGGATCAACTGGGACAGAGAGAGAGAGGAGGGAGGGAGGGAGAGAGAGAGGTGGTGGAGCGCATCTGGGAGTGAAATTGGGAGGACAAATCTCTGTGCTTAATTTCTTGCGAATGTTTGCGTAAAATTGCGAATCCTGTGCTGGAAACTCTACAGTGTGAATCAGATTGAATTGCTGCAGCTGAGGCTGTTTTTTTTTTTTTGCCTCGTACTGTACGTTGGAGATGTGTCTGAGACTGACATTACTGCTTTGTCCATGCTGCAAGCAGCTGCCTAACCCCAGAGGAAGTGAGCAGCTAATTCATCATTCACTTTATTTATTAACCTATTAATTTCCAGTGGACACTGATCTAAGCTTTTCCTGGCCTCTTTGATTGCTTTAATTATACCAAGTGGCTTTTTACTACTACTACTAATAATAATAATAACAACAACAATCCTAATCCTTGCATTTGATGTAGCGCCTTATCACATCGTCGAGACGTCTCAAATCGCTTCACACGCTACGCCGTTAAATGGATTTAACCGTGTATTTTGTGGGTGAAACGCAGTAGCCAGTCGCGCAATGCAGGTGGATGTTAAAGAGTTGAGTGACACGTCGTGGAGGACAGTATCCCCCGAGGGCTTGAAAGTGATGGGGTGGAGGGGAGGGGAGAAAAATTATTGGCTGGGTTGAAGAGACGTTCAGGCAGGAATGAAAAAAAGGTGAGATAGAGATGGGAGGCGGGTGGGAAGGTGAGAGATCGCTCTTTCACGCGATATTTGTTATCAGCCTGTTCTACGATCGATCAGAAAAAAAGAATTTTCCAGTTTAGGAAGGTTGTTGGTCGGTGAAGAGCTAATCGGTGATTTCTCTCCACATCTCCTTCTTTCTC